ATCTGCAAGATGGCAGTCATGAGGACAACAGACGCATTTCGCTTCATGATGAGTTCAAGCCAAAATAAAATTTTGCAGTAGCCTCCTATGACTCTCATTCTTCAGGCACGCTGGGAGCTAAAGTGGGTGAAATTCAATTTTTAGAGCTATTACCAGAAAATAGAGGCTTTCATTCCAGTTTTACATGGATTTAAAACGACCTCAAACATTAACTGAATATGATATGAAAGTACAAGATTATCTGGGAGAATAACACTGCAAAACACCAGTCAACATTAACATGTCGTAAGTGTTGAGTGATGGCCAGTGGTGGAGGAAGTTTTCAGATCCTTTATTGGAGTTTTATTACTACACTGTAAAAATACTAGGCGGCATGGTGGCATAGCATTATTGCCTCACAGCAAGAGGGCTCCTGGTTTGAACCCATGGGTGGGGGAGCCCTTCTGTATGGAGTTTGCAAGTTCTCCCCATGTCAGCATGGGTTTTCTCCGGGTCCTCCAGCTTCCTCCCACAGTCCAAAGACATGCAGGTTAATTGGTGACTCTAAATTGCCCGTAGGTGTGAATGTGAGTGTGAATGGTTGTCTGTCTCTATGTGTCAGCCCTGTGATGTCTGGTGACCTGTCCAGGGTGTACCCTGCCTCTCACCCAATGTCAGCTGGGATAGGCTCCAGCCCCACTGTCATTAGAAACTGACTGAAAACTAATGTAAGAAATAGGTGGTTGAAAAGGTAACTTTAATTAAAAAATGATTTAAAATATACCACCTGTAAAGATATCGATAAATTTAAAAAAAAGTTCTTTATTTAAGTTAAATAAATATTATATCAGATACAAAACCAAATAAAGGTGCAAAATGACAATTACCATGTGCGCCTTTTGGACCATGGAGAAGATTATTACTTTGGAGCCGTTTGTACTTCCTTTGCAACCATGTTGGCTCTCTGCTCTGTAGCCATGTTGGCGCTCTCTGCCACTGTACTGCCTCAGCCCATAAAGCAAGTCGACAATTAAGTCACAATGTCTTTAAACGAGTACCTTATAATTAACAGCGTCTTAGCTTGTTACTGTTGCTAAAATTGGTCAAATGTGTTGCCATATCAAACTACAAACATAATTAATCATAATTAAACAAGTTTCAACCATAAAATGTGATCAGGTTTGGACTTTGTCCACTTTTGTGTCAGGATCAGCTGCAGACTGACTTGGCAGAGATGGCTGCCATCTTGTTTTTACATGGATTAGTCTATTGTGCTCTTACTGTCACTAGATGGCACAAAAAAGTGTCCACAAATGAGGACAACAGCTCTAAGTTAAAGGACAGCTTCGGTATTTTTCAACCTGGGCTCTATTTCCCCATGTGTATGTGTGCATATAATTCATGGGTACCACTCGTTCTAAAATTGGTTCAGTATTGAGCCGCGAAACGAGCTAAAACTGTAATGGGGACAAATGCGTCCCGTATAAAAGTGCGGTTTTTTGCCACCGACCGGTTCAGATCGCCAGTGCTATCTCTGTAGATAGCATATGGTAGCGGCCCTGGGGCAGTGGTGAGTGTGAATGAGTGGAGTCAGCTGTCAGTCAGTGTTGGAGCAGAAAGGTGGAAGGCGTCCCCGCTTGGTAACGAGTTGTACCTATGAATCATACGCACACATACACATGGGGAAATAGAGCCCAGGTTGAAAAATACCGAAGCTGTCCTTTAAGTAGAATAAAGTTTAAGGTCAAGTAAACCCAAAATATAATGACCTCATATGGGGACACAGGGTCTCAGGAGGATAATGTTTGTGCACAAAAAAATAATTTGTAAAGTAACTAGTAACTAAAGTTATCAAATAAATGTAGCTGAGTAAAAGCACAATATTTAACTCTGAATTGTAGTGGAACAGAGGGATAAGTTCACATAACATTGAAATACTCAAGTAATGTACAATCACCTGAAAAATGTACTTAAGTGCTTGAGTAAATCTACTTAGTTACTTTTCACCACTGAAGAGACTTGTATGTTTATTTTTTTAACTGATATGTTTTGGCAGTCACAGTATGGATACAGTCCTGTAGTTTGTGTTTGTCTTCCTTTGCCTCTCACTCGTTCAGTGCACGGAGTATTTTGTCAATTGTCAGTTCACTTCTGTAACAACTTAAAATCTGAATTTGACCAAGAAAGAATACTGATTTCAATGTTTATTTTTTTTTACCAAGTTCAGCATAAAACTCATCACACAATGATCACAACCTCTGACTTTTGATCTCCACCACATGCTCCGAGGACACCAGTGCAGAGTTTATAGACTGGTGTTTACCGCACTCTGCTGGTCAGTATGGGGACACTGCAAGTGGTTGGCAGGCACCTGGGTCAATAAACCACAGTGACTGTCCCATAATGCCCTTTATCCATATGTGTACGCAAAAACAATTGTGACAAAGATAAATTCTTATTTCTCTTGTGTATTTTGAGCCCCTCTCCCTATGTGATTCATCAATATTGTTCTGCCTCTCTTTGTGCAGCTCTCTTTGTCACATGCCTACAGTGAGCAAGAGAAATGAGAATACAGGACATGTCAAAATGACAAGACACAGAGAACTGTCAGAAAATGACTGCCTTCTCAGCTTCCTCATTGTGGTTATTTGTCTGAAAGACAGAAACAGAGAGGGGAGAGCTAAACGAGGGAGCGATAAGAAAGGGAAACAAAGAGAAAGAGAGATGATAGACAATTAAAGTCAAATTATGGGAGCATGCCAAGTACATTAGCTACCAAAGCTGATAATTAATCATCATTGCGCTGCTTGTCAGAGGGTAATACTCACATCTGTAATTGGGACAAATTGGTAACCAGTGGGGCATTTAAAGTGTGTGTGTTAGAGAGCGGCGAGGAGAGAGAGTATGATTTTATATTCTCATTAATGTAGAGAGGGTATAATGAAAGTGGCAAATCGAGGATAAACAACGTCTACTTTTCATTCCAACTAAACATCGCAGCAGCTGATTTCACTTCACTAATTAGCACCTTGTTAACCGCAGAGGGGAAAATAAACTGAAATGAGCAGCTGTGGTGAAGCAGCTCAAATAAAGCTGTCTTGTCTTTTTATATGATGTAAATTACACATTTATTTAACTGAATCTGGAAACATTTCCCTTTCCTATTATTGTTGATAGAAAATATATTTTATCCTACATTAACTGCACGGTATATTTATTGTTTTCTTCTGTTAACAGTATACAGTTGGTCTGTAGCCTGAATAATTATATGTTTATTGATAGATATACATACAATATTTGGATGTTAATGTGGACATGTATAGATAATAAAGCCCGTTTGTTATGTTGTGTATGTTACATAGTATTCTACATGTACACCAGTAGGCTTTTTACTAATGTCTCAGTGTCTACATTATTGTGTTGTTAATTTTTAGTTTTGGACTTTCTTTTAGATCGATCCATCTATGTCAGGGGTGTCAAATATATGTCCCACAGGCCAAAACGGGCCCACCAAAGGGTCCAATCCGGGGCCCTGGATGACTTTGAACACCTAATATTGATCCACATGTGAAAGCTAAGGCCCCGATCACACAGAAAGTGTTTTAGCAGCTGGAGCTGGCTTTTTGTAATTGTTTTTAATGAGAACGAAGCTTTCTGCTCACGTTTTTTACGTAGCAATGCACCTCACATTTCTGCACTCTAGGCACTCTGTGTTTTTGCTGGAGCCTCAGAGCAGAAAGGTGTTCTCTTTTTTTGTCATTTTTTTTTCCCCCATTGTCCAATCAGATGATTTGAGAGGTGGGCCCTTTGTGGTGGTCACGACAACAAGTTTACAGTTGATAAACAATGGAAGAGAAACTGGTGGTAGCGGTTGCTGGATACCCAGAGCTATACGGCCCTGACAATAGACAGCAGGTTGTTAAACTACCCCCAAGTCATCCTAAAATAAGCCTGGAAACCGCCGTCATCGAGGAGAAGCTCCTGGACCAACTGGTGGTGCTCCCCATGATCCACCCTCTTTTTTAGGGTCTCATGTACTCACACAGATCTCATTACCCTGTGCCCAACAAACTATTTGCTGACAGTCTCTCACCCTCATCCAGAGCTACAGCAAGTTACCGCTGCCTGAACATTTTAGGAGCTAGCTACTAATTATTGTGAATTTTTTTTTTTTTTTAAACAGTAAATTGATTACACAGGAAGGTTAGTGTAAGGGTGTGATGGGGTGGCAAAGATAAAAAGGAGCAAGCATTTTTTGTTTGGTTGGGTTTTTTTTTACTAGTGGCATACAATTTAGCAAAAAAGGCAGTATGGTGCGCCTGCCCTATTGTAACCTGCAAAATACTTTCTGTGTGACCGGGGCCTAAGAGGTGCAGGTTTCAGGAGCAAGTTAAACAGTGTACTAACCAGTAGGCTTTATTACTAATGCCTCAGTGTCTACAGTCTTGTATTGTTAATTTTTAGTTTTGGTCTTTCTTTTTGATCTATCAATCTATCTATCTATGTCAGGGGTGTCAAACATCTGTAATGCAAGCCAGAAGTGGCCCACCAAAGGGTCCAATCCAGGCCCCTAGATGATTTTGCACAGCTAATACTGATGCACTTGTGAAGGCTAAGAGGTGCAGGTTTCTGGAGCAAGTTAAACAGTGCACTTAATGTGAAATGCAGCTTCACAGGCTTTTCCACCCTGACCAGAATACAGCACTCTGAAATAACAATAAATACCTATTGTGGTCATATTTAAAGACAATGAATATTGTCCAAAATATTGTCGACCAGCAGCTTCAGTGCAAAAAAAAATCTGTAATAACAGCTTCTCACAAGCAGTTGTTACCATAGCTGCAGCTGTAGTAGAAATAAAAGCAGATGCAGCAGAAGCACTATACGTAGTGGTAGTGGTAATATTAACACCAGAACATGCAGTAATATCAGTAATATATAGTAGCTGGAGCAGTATAGGCAGTATTGAAATATCTGAGCACTTAACTCCTGTCTCATGTTACGCATGCGCAACACGCAATTGAAGGAAATAGTGTGAGAAGTGCGTGAAGTGGGTCGGGACTTGACACGAAATCTGAGATTTGACTTGATCCGCGCTCTACTTTGAAGGATGTAACGCTGCAGCCTGCAAACCCTGTTTTTGTGAGCAGCTGGTGAAATTTATGAAGATAACCCAGACAGGATCTGCACAGCCCACCGCTGTTCCCGTCGGCACGGTAACTTCGGACAGAGGCAGGGCTCTCCTGCTAGCTGCCACACCAGCTAACTCCAGGTAGCATACAGTGCTAACACTAGCTACATAGCTTTGGCTGGTTTTCAGTTAGAAACTACTCAGCGATCACATACGAACCAACGATTATTACAGTTGCCTTAAAGTATGTTGTCGCTACCTATCAAACTAAGTGGTCAACAAATAAATACATTGTAGCACAGTAAACAAACACGCCTGCTAACCTCATAGTAGCATGCTACGTTAGCTGGTTTGCTATCAACAATCATCGGTGTTAGCTGATGTTTTTAGTAGCAGGTAGCGAGCCAATCCCATGTCAAGTTACTTAGTGAAAGCGTGTATTTCCGGTTATGCTCTTCAAAATAAAACCCTACTTGAACAGTAACGAACATGGCAGCTTACAACAATTTTACAATAATAAATAGTGGCAGGCAAATATACCTGGGAAAAATACATTGTAATAATGCACCTCTATATCAGAAGTACTAATGGTTTGAAGTAAAAGTGTGTCACAAATTGATGAACTTTCTAATTGAATTAAATAGAGGTTTTATTTTCATTTTATATGTAGCTCTTTTTATATCATAACCATTAACACTTAATTGACTCTCTGAGGAAATGTGTGATAGGTTATTGTCGTTCTGATGTGAAGCATAGAGAATTATAGGAATAAAAATGAATAAGTACGAACTATGTAAACATATTACAATAAAATAGGTGTATCATGCTACAGTGCTAACACTAGCATGTCAAATATGTAAAAATATAAAATGTGTATAGTGCTCTCTGAGTTTGTAAAGTGTATATAAAATATAAAATATGGGCCTTATGCTACGTCACAAAGTATAAAACTAGTATGTGAAGTTAAAAATAAAACAAAGATGTGTATTTGACTATATACATAACTCGAAAAAATAAGTAATACATACAATATCCTATGTGCAACTTATGTTAAGTACACATTCAAGAGTGGGAAGAGTTTTACACAGCTAAATAACTGCGCTATGTTGCTGTAGTTGAGTTATTTCTCCAATTATTGTACAGTGGAGACAGTGTTAAACAAAGGATTATTATACCTTTAAGTCCCTATTGCACATTTGAAATATGATATTACAACTTTTTTTCACATCCATGTGTAAATAATCCTGTCTGTTCTTTAGCTTTATGTCTCTAGCATTTTTGTGCTTGTTTCTAACTGTCACATCCATTTTTGTGCATGTACATTGAGAGCAATGCAGAAAAAAACTGAGTCCAATTGCTTCTGTGTGTACACATATTTGGCCAATAAAGGTGATTCTAATTCAGAAATAACTTACAGAAGGCAGTAAACATTCTCATCAGTTATCTGAAGTCAGTTTCAGACTCTTTAGAGCTCTGACCGCCTGCAATAAATGGTTTTAATTTACAGTATATAAGAACACATTCTGTAACTTGTATGACCAGCTTGCTGCTGATAGCAGATCATCTTATTGTCCTTCCCACTGTCTTACCCAGCACCTTAGATGCCTCAAATGTTAGTAAATAATCGACTTTATTATATTAGCCTTTTGCTCGTTCAAAGCTTCACCTTTATTTTGAAGACAAGTGTTCACTTCCGGTTAGTTGTGTCCGCGTGCAGTAGCTTCCCCGGACTAACGGCAGCCAGAGTGGCGCCGCAAGCTAGCTAAGAAGATACAGGCGAGCACAACTACTTTAACCTTGTTTTTATCCCGGACTAAATAGTTCCGGACATTTGTAAACTCAAATATAAATGTAAAAAATGCCTCTTTGTCATGTTATCAGGTCGTTGGCGAGCTAGCGTCGTCATTATACGGCTAACAACTTAGTTAAAACGGTATAGTTTGTGGTTTACAGATCTCCTGTGGTCTCCAGACTCAAAACCGAAGCTTTGTGTGTTTATCGGGTTTTGCCTGAAAGCTAATCTGTCATCCGGATTTACTCAACATTACAGCTCATTAACAACATGGCAGGAACTGACAGCCTCTAATGAGAGGATAACAGAGGTAGCACACAACCTTATTGTTGAATGAACTTTTGCCAGTTTTATAAGTTAGATACACTGAGCTACAACTTATGTCTTCTAATACCACAGCTCTGCAGCACATACCTACATCCATGCAGTCTGTCATGTTAGTTATGATGTTCAGTTTTTGTTTAATATCTTGTCTGTTTGTGTCAGTTGAAGCAGACATAAGAAGGATGCGTACAACTCTACAGCCTCTTAAATGAACATAAAGTCTAATTCATTTTCAGATCTCTTCACCCCTCCTCCTGATGCTGAGAGGTCTGCGGTCCCACATCTGTCCCATCTGCAGCTGAACAGCTGTGAAGATCGTCTCTGCTCCGGCCTCCTGATTCAGTGAAACCGTGTCAACTACATAATATCCTCAGAAGGCTTAGTGAGAGATAAGTCAAGATGTCCATCACAAACACACCCACCAGCAACGATGCCTGCCTGAGCATTGTGCACAGCCTGATGTGTCACAGACAGGGTGGTGAGAGCGAGACGTTCGCCAAGAGGGCCATCGAGAGCCTGGTGAAAAAGCTGAAGGAGAAAAAAGACGAGCTCGACTCCCTCATCACGGCTATCACCACCAACGGGGCCCATCCCAGCAAGTGTGTGACCATTCAGAGGACGCTGGATGGACGGCTGCAGGTAGGACAACACACTCTGGATCATTTATTTGATACGCTCATGTACATAAATATAAATCAGATTCATACACTTCACATTAGTGATGATTAGTCTTATTTGTTGTTTGTAGTCTATTAATGTTTGGGGATTTCTAGTCTTTTCACCCACAGTAAACTATCCCAGCATTTTTTTTTTTCTTGAATTAAAATAAAAGACCACAACAGACAGTTATTCAGCATAACATCGAGGCCTGCAATTTGTGACTATTTTCAGAACAGATTAGTCAGAAAATGGTGAAAAATAGCTACTACCACTTAGAGATTATGGTTACATAATTAATCATCTAGTTATTCAATCATTATTCATCTAGTCCACTCATAGTGTTATTTTGGGTCTTTTATACATGACAATACACAGGAAATCTAGATATGTTGTATTTATTTAATGCCATGATAGTTGCCCAAGCAGTAACCCATCTGGCTACTTGAGGCTGGTGCTGCGTGCGCATTGAAGTTATAGCAGGATAAAGAAATGCGTTTTCTCTCAGTGAAGAACGTATTCTCGTCGAAGCTTATTGTTGCTAGTGATGGAGGGATGTACAAAACAAATGTGCACTGGGAAAGCACCTGTAGTTGTAGTCACCCTCATCAGGTAGATTGATAGTGCCCTGGCACATGATGCTCCCGTAACGCCTACTTAATAAAACAGCTGTACTGTATTTTGAAACTGTCAACTAAATTCAGTAAATAAAGAAATTGTCCATTTCATTGAGCCAAACTTTTGATCTTTTTGGTTGCAAAACCACATAAACAGTTGGTTAGCAAACTATTTTTCTGACCATCGACTTTGCAATTTAGATTTAACATCATCCAACATGTGAGATGAGAAACCTGCCAATATAAACATCGCAAGCTGAGATTACAAAATGGAATAAGTAACCACATGATTCTCTGGAAAATTATTCAGCCAAAAAAAGGCAAGAAAATTCAGGAAATCTCTGCAGAAAACCAAGTTGGTGCTGTAACCTTTTTTAAAAGTATTGTGACCTGTGTGTATTCGTCTACTCAGAACATGCTGTTCACCAACACAGTGGAAAACAAGATGTGTTCCACAGGGTTTCTGTGGGTTCTTAAAAAGTCTTAAATGGCGTTGAGTTCATTAATTTATTATTGCCGTTAAAATGTCTTAAATCAATCTTTCAAAACTCTGAAAAAATAGAAAGAAAGAAAGATTTTATGTATGTTTTTTCCCCCCTGACATTGAATTATAAAATCTCAAAACAATTGGTTACATCTGTTTTTAAAAATAATGTACTTAATGCCTCTTGCATGAACATCAAGCAGAGGAGTATCAGGATTGTGGTACTAGCAACACTCATTTTGTTTCCCCCAGGCATAGCTGTCACTGTACGACAAGTCTTAAATCTAACTTGCCCTAAGCTGTAGGAACCCTGATTTTAATAACTGACTTAACACTATATTTGAGCTCAGCTGTGAGGTCAGTGAGTCCACAAATGATTTAACTCTGTTCCTGTATTCTTTCTCTGTGTTGTCGTTGTTGTTCCCAGGTGGCTGGACGTAAAGGCTTCCCCCATGTAATCTACGCCCGGCTGTGGCGGTGGCCTGACCTGCATAAGAATGAACTGAAACATGTCAAATACTGCCAGTTTGCCTTCGACCTCAAGTGTGACAACGTGTGTGTCAACCCCTATCACTATGAGAGAGTGGTGTCTCCTGGCATAGGTGAGTAACGGGGAAGTGGGCATGTGCCTGTTGAGGTGCCATTTGTTTTAGTTATACTTCTCCAAATCACAGTCTGCCTCACAAGGGATATTTTCTTGGCATTGTCCCTAATTTGTTCCACCTCTTTATCCTTTTTCTTGGTCCACAGACTTATCAGGACTGACGCTGACCCCCTCTGGACCCAGCTCTGCGCTGATGGTTAAGGATGAGTATGATTTCGACGGACCACAGAGCCTACCCTCCATCGACGGAGGGCACTCCATCCAGACCATCCAGCACCCCCCATCCACCGGCCGTCCGGCCCCCTCTGAATCATTTGCAACCCCGAACCTGCTCCCGCCTGCGGAGGCCTCCACCTCTGGTTCATCATCATCCTTCCCTGCCATCGCTGCTGGATCAGGCAGTAAGATACAGTTGTAAAATATTCTTGTGTGTGTCCGTGTTTGTCTGTATATACATGTGTATGTTTGGACATGGGTCTCTGACTTGTGTTCTCTTTTCCTCCTCAGGTGCCAGCTCAACCTGGTCCAGGAACAGCAGCTTCACCCCCAACATACCCCACCACACCAACGGTCATCTACAGCACCACCCTCCTATGCCACATCCAACACACTACTGTAAGTACACACTGTCGCTACCACCAAATCCTCGGATAACTGCCTACCTCTTGACTTAATTTTATTTTTTAATTTTTTTTACATAGTGTGTAATTGCTGCCATTACTCCCTCTGTTTCTCTCAGGGCCGGTGCATAATGAGCTCGCCTTCCAGCCTCCTATATCCAATCATCCAGGTGAGAACACACAATCCACTTGTAACTGACAAACAGAACATCTTTCTATGCATGTTTTTATCCACATAGATTATTCACAGAGTGCTGCCTTTGTTGGCTTTCATTCACAAAAGGCAGCATTGTCCCTTTTGAGTGTCTAAAAAGTTGAAGACTACATTAGATACAAAGCTGTTAATATGCTCAGTTTGATTGTCTCTGTGCCAACTTTTGAATTTACAGGTTATCCTTACATCACAGCATGTGTGCTGCAATTTATTTATTTATTTTTAGCTTTAATTAGATTAAAGCACTCATTTCAGGTAAACAAATTGATTCAAAAGTCATTTAGCGAAATAAGATTATTGCTGCACGGTTTGATAAAAATGTGCGATTACGGTGGACAATATCGCAATTTGCGATTACAATATAATACATAAATGGTATCATTAGTCTTCTTGCCTGATTCAGTGTTTCCCCTAAATTATATTAGGGGGGCACTGACCTGACCTGACCTGACATAGTTATTGTTATGGACAGTGTGTAAATGACCATCAACAGACTGAGCACAGTCAAACACGCTGCTCACACAGCAGCACAACTTTTACACAGCACGTCTTTCTGTTCACCGTCGCCGTACCTGAATCCAAAGTATCGCCATATAATAGACGTTGCCTTTTTTTCGCTACCAACTCAGCCTGTTCTTGGTTGTGCTCATGCTCTTCTTCAGCTTCTGTGTTGGTCACTGCTGCACGCCGGGCGGTCACCTGACCATACATGTTACCATACAAGTTATTTTTATAACTTGAAACAAAGTCACACAAGTTTAATATTACTTTGACGAGGAACATTTTCCATTCATGACTACAAACCATTGACATAAGGTTCTCCCCTCTGTCTCAGCTCCTGACTACTGGTGCTCCATTGCCTATTTTGAGATGGACGTTCAAGTCGGGGAGACGTTCAAGGTGCCCTCTTCTTGCCCCATTGTGACAGTGGACGGCTATGTCGACCCCTCAGGAGGAGACCGCTTCTGTTTAGGCCAGCTCAGCAATGTACATCGCACTGAGGCTATCGAGAGAGCAAGGTGGGTGATCTTGTTACTCTCAGTAGTTAGAGAGCAAAATAGTTCAAATCTTACTGCTAATATAATCAGGGATGTATTTTTTTTACATTTGAACCAGAAACAAGAGTTTGGCTGTCAAGCGTCATCTTTGTCATTGCTGCCAGCCTGAAACGTTTTTTGGCATATCTAAATTTATCAATAAAAAACCCCACAGGAAATGTGATTTTTGTAAATCAAGTTAAATCAAATCAAATCCACATTTGGAAATGAAATGTGATTCCAATTGGATTGGAGGCTCTGGCTCCTCAAATTAGATTTCAAAGTGTCTTTTGTGTACCTTTGCTTTATCGCTGAAGTGGAGCTTTTTCAGCTGAGCTGCGTGCGTGAGTCTGTCCCACCACCAAGTGTTAAACAGATCTGACCAAAAAAAAAAAAGTCTGACATACTGGACCATATTAGGGCTGTACCTGACTCAGAGTTATGTCAGTTGAATCAGATCTGTCTGTTCAATATGAATATTTGACAATTCTTTTTTTCTGTATAAAGTTTGAAAGTTTGAACGGGGCTCAGCAGGACATTCAGTGTGATAGCAGCATTCACTTTGTATAGTGCATAAGCTAACTGCGCTTGCAACAGATCGGAAATGTGCAACATTTTTTTGCTGACACTAGATAACAAATAAAAGCCAGAGACTGTATTGTATTAAGTTGCTGTGAGCTGTAAATTCACCCCTCCTAAGCAGAAGAGAGGAGATAATGTGCCGCTGCACCGTGTCCACTGCAGCCTGGACTAAAGAGCAGCATGAAAGTCAATGTCCTCCTTCCTCTTCCTCAGGCTTCACATCGGTAAAGGGGTTCAGCTGGAATGTAAGGGTGAGGGAGACGTGTGGGTGCGATGCCTCAGTGACCACGCCGTGTTTGTTCAGAGTTACTACCTGGACCGAGAGGCGGGTCGAGCCCCTGGAGACGCTGTTCACAAAATCTACCCCAGTGCTTACATCAAGGTAAGCACATGGGTCACTGAAAGGGCATCACTCAAAGTTGACGTTTCATAAAATGTTGTTTTTCCTCTTTTGGAAGGTCAGACTGCAGACATCTCTTTCCATACAGTCTCCTCCTTTACATTGGTTCTGTACAGTAGTTGTGTCTACGTACTGCCACTGTTTACTGTCTTTTCCACTCTCGTCTCTTATAAGGGGAAATCATACCTCTTCACACAGCATCTTTCTGACACTCTCCCTGATTGGCAGCCTGTGGTGATATTTACATTTCTCCTATGCAGGGGGCTAATTGCTGCTGAATGTACAGTATTTAAAGTCTCTTCTCTCCTTCCAGGTGTTTGACCTCCGTCAGTGCCACAGACAGATGCAACAGCAGGCAGCTACAGCTCAAGCAGCAGCTGCAGCCCAGGCAGCCGCTGTGGCCGGAAACATACCCGGACCTGGATCAGTTGGAGGGATAGCTCCAGCCATTAGTAAGACCCTGTAGTAACTAGCTATGAAGAGAACAGAGACATGCTCAGACTGAATTTCAGCCCAATTGTGGTTAAAAAAAATCAAATGAATATGTTCTGGTAACACAAATTTGATAATGAACAAGATTATATTGATTTTTATTGGTTGACAGATATTTGCAGGCGTAATTACTCCAAAAATGAAGCTGAAAGTTTTGAATATAGTGTTCCAAGTAGGGGTGGCGATATGGCCTTAAAATAATATCACAATATTTCAGGGTATTTTTGCGATGATAACATTCTTGACGATATGACAAATTAGTTGATTTTTTTTTTTTAATTAATTTAAGAAAATAGAATTGCAACAAAATAAGTGATAGTTTTACACTTTAACCTAAGTTTGCCTTCAAATGTTAAGTAAAAACTAAACAAAGAATAGTAATACAACAAAATAAAAACTCCTAAAAATGACACATTCAAACAGAGTCTGCAATAGTTTCTCTTGTTGCCGAGGGTAACAGTATGACGATAATTGGCCAACAAGCCGAAATATCGCAAGTATCACGATATGACATTTTTACATGATATTAAAAATTATCTCAGTAGTATCATGAACAAGACGTTTTTATTACAGACAACTCATTAATTTTCAGGCTGCAACTATTTTCATTATTGATTAATCTGCCAGTAATTTTCTTTTATGAATGGCTTTATCCTTTGCTCGTTTAAAATTCCAGAAAACAGTGTCCAATTTGACGTAATCAGATCGCTCTTTTTGTCTGACCAGTGGTCCAAAACTCAAACATATTCAGTCTGCTGTCATCAGAGTCCAAGAAAAGAAGCAGATATTTTCATTTTAGAGGCTGCAACTTTAACATTTTTGCCTAAAATTGACTCAGATAATCGACTAATTGTTTCATCTCTAGGAATCACCTAATTAATTAATTGTTTGTCAATACATTGTATGCCAAATCACACTGACCTGATCATGACTCTCTCTCCTCCCGTCCTCTCAGGTCTGTCAGCGGCAGCCGGTATCGGGGTAGATGACCTCCGGAGGCTGTGTATTCTCAGGATGAGTTTTGTTAAGGGCTGGGGGCCCGACTACCCGCGCCAGAGCATCAAGGAGACCCCCTGCTGGATCGAGATCCACCTGCACAGAGCTCTACAGTTACTGGACGAGGTTCTGCACACTATGCCTATAGCGGACCCGCAGCCTCTGGACTGAGACCTGCGGCATCGCACTGCGACTCATACAGTGGCAATTGAAAGTCTTCCTCAGTGAACTGTTTTGGGTGGAGGAGCCAGTGGAACAGGTGTGACACTGAAGCTCACCCACATGAAAAAGTACTTTCAGGTGTTTGAGGCACCTTTTTGCACTGTGGCCCCGACTCTTACTTCTTGAAGCAGGAGTGACACTAAAATGAACCAAAGCCATATATTAAAGATATGTGTGTCATATTTTTGATAGATGGCTTTGATATCTGATGACTGGAATGATGAACTATAGGACTAGGAAAGGCATCACAAATAACTACAGTTACAAAGCACCACGTTGTGCTCATTGATGACCTGCGGATCCCATGAAACTGGAATGTACAGCGATTACTCAGAGTCCACAACCGCCAACTACTGACAGATATTAGAGTCACTGAACAATAACCGAACATCTGAGAGCTGCGCTGCTGTGAGATGGATCATATCCAGTGTCTGGGCACCGCAGCACTGCTCAAAGATCACCGCTCGACATTACGCTGCCTCTTAGATACTGAACAGGGCTGAGGACCACCCAGCTTGGATCAGGTCATACGAGACACTCACAACCATCCACAGATATCACAGAGAATGACATGCACCATCCCTAAAGCCGACCCCTAACCTCTGAACTGAAACAAGGTCAAGGATTCTTCTAGGTCAGGTATTGTCAAAGTATGGGTTTGGACCTTAAAAACTGGTTGTGGGCTTGGTGTGCCCCCACCATACATGTTTCTATTTTCCCTCTCACCTGTAGTGCTGTTTATCAGCCTTGATTGTTTTGGTGTGAGTTGCAGAGTGTTGGAGATATCGGCCGTTTTTTTTTTTTTGTTTGTTTTTTTTGTTAGATATTTTTTTGGGGCATTTTTTAGCCTTTATTTGACAGGACAGACAAGTGTGAAAGGGGGAGAGAGAGAGGAAGTGACATGCTGAGCATCTATTTTTTTAGGGTTCAACAGCTGTGCCCTGTGATAAACTGAGTTCAAGTTTCAGGTAAACAGGCTATGATGTGTGTGTAAAGGTTGTTTTGCAACCTCAGACGCAACCTGCCGCCACACTCTTGAAAGCTGGCTTAAAAAAGGCACAGAAGTAGCACCCAGCGCTCAACCTTGCCTTTTGTGGGCGGTGAAAGACATGATCCCTAACACACTTGGCCTGTGTTGCTCAAAGCACTAAATAAAAATTCCCAGACCTTGTTAGCAGTTTAATGTAGGAACTGTTTCTTTCTTCCTAACTGCACCCACCAACCAAATCAACGTGCAGAAGGAAGTGTGCATCTACCGCTAGCTCGCCTAGTACCACTGAGCTAGCTAACATTACAGCTCAGCCAAGGAGGACACCATTGTTGTCATGAGTAAAGGCCTCTCGTCCATTAGTTGAAGCACACTTTCTTCTGCACGGTGATACCGTTAGTGGGTGTAGTTGGGTAGAAAGAAAATAGTTCCTATCTCAAACTGCCCACAACAAGGTCTGTGGATTATCTTGAGTAACAGGGTCATGATTTCTGAGTTTTTCTAATGCATTTTGTGCCGATTTTTAAGCAACACAAGTCGAGTACCATCTAGTTCCATTATATTCAAGAGAAGGCAGACATCTCTACATGCGATATCTCCAACACTCAGCTCACACCAAAACAATAAATTGATAAATAGCACTACAGGTAAGAGGTAAAATGTGTTTTTAATTTTGGGGTGAACTAGATTGAACAAGATTTCGGAGCAAAGAAAAAGCCCACAGTCGAGGTTTTGGACCAGACAATAAAGTTCTTCTCCGGCATAATGACAGACAAAGTTGAATGGCCCATTGATGATACAATATATCTGTTTTTACTGACTTACTGTGATTATATCATTTCTTCACTCACTCAGAAAAAGTGATCATTTATCACTGGTCACTTCCACCTGTTTCAGGTTACTATTTTGGAAAACGCCCTATTTTATGCTGCCACAAAGGATGAATCTCATACACCGCCTTCTGCAAACTCCTCGCCATTTGTCCCTTTCATGCTGAGAGCAAAAAAGAAAACAGCGGTGATGTTTTTGTTTCACATGCAATGGAGTTAAGAGAAGAAGGCAGACAGATGGTGTTAGATATCTGAGATTTGACCATGGTACAAACAACAGGGTTCATGAAAGTTTCGGCAAGCCAAAGTACTTATTACTCAGACACACACTGTAGGTCCAGTATGATCATGTCAGCTGCCCCACTTTTTATTTGGAAATTTCTTTAATTGAATTTTAAAGGTGATGATAATTATTTGTATTCATTTAAATTGGTATGGATTTTAATCTCCAAGCATACCCGACACATCATCCCCACTATGAGAGTCATTGTACTTAAATATCTTATGACTTGCAGCCCACTTATATACGACTCGATCCAGGTCACTTGTGTGTAGTTTACTGACAGAGAGAATTTAAGGCAGTTTCCCAGCAATATTGATATATTTTCTTGGTTTTATTTTTGTTACTTTTATTAATTAATTTGTATTATATTTTTAGCACTTTACTTTTTTTCTTGTTTTTAATCCAGTAACCCTTATTTTGAGGTGGTTGTCCTGCGATATGAATAAGGGAGTGAATAGTTTTATGTAGGATTGTGAGCAGAGGCGACTTTGTGATGCATTTGTATGGAGAACATTTGTAACACTAAGGCATCTTTTTAAAATCTGTTACTGCCCTTTCACTCTCAGTAGGCATTTAGACAAATCTGTAGGGTTTCTTTCGGCTGTTCTGAGTTGCAGTCTTTTTTTTGATTTGCAGTTTTTTTCCTTTTTAACCCGTGTAAATAACTTTTGTTTCTGAACTGCATGTCAATGTTTGCATGAATTTTAATGGCAAAGAGACCCCTTTATCTCTGACCCCCCTTTTTAAAATAGGTTACTTCACTTGCCCCGCATTACACAGGAAAAGTGGATTATCAGAGGAGAGTAGAAACCAGCACCCACTGTGTACTGGTGTGTGTTAACCAGCATAAAAGGCAAACAGATAAAAGCTACAGAGTCACAGCTAATGTAAATGATCCGATTTAATTATATAAACTCAACTTTTTAGCAGCAAGGTTCGTAAAGAAGGCAACTTTCCTTCTGAGACCTAATGTGTTTAGATACAGTAATGCCGTCAGTTATTAGTGTGCAGAGAAACAGATAAACAGATAAAGGTAGGCCGACACACAGAAATAATTTGATTTCAACACGAGTCCCCTCGTCTCCTCTGCCTGTGCGCTGCCTGTGATACTTTCTTTTTCTGTTTTTAAAGGCATTTGTTGGGACATCTCTGTAACATCAGTAACCTTTAAATTTAAGTGTACATTAAAGGCCCAGTGTGTAAGATATATGGGGACTTGGGTTGTATCTAGAGGTGAGGATTGCCGATTGCAACCACCTGAAACTTCTCCAAGTTAGATTTCCTTCAGTGCTGATCGTACAAAAGGTTTTTACCCTGAGCTGAATTGTCTCCTCTCCAAAACAAGTGGACCAGCGTGAAAACACTGATTTAAGTAGTTTCATGTCTGTGTTTCAGATGGCCCACTTGCCTAGCACCTGCTAACGTGTGCCCACCTATTGTCTCTGACATCTTAAAGCGTGCTCACTTTATTTCTGATTCAGACGTTCAGGAGGTTTTTACTGTGAGCTGAATTATCCGCAGAGGTCTCTTCCTCTCCAAAACAAATGGGCCCAGTGATTTAAACCTGTAAAAACACTGAGTAAAGCAGTTTCACGTTAAAAATTAAGTGTTTTCCTGACAGACTTTTCATGGACGGTGGCTGACACAGAAACGCGAAGCACCCGATCTAGAGCTAGTGTTTGGTTTGTCCGTTCTGGGCTACTGTAGAAACATGGCGGTGCAACATGGTGAGGATCTGCTTTCTATATAGATACAAACGGCTCATTCTGAGGCAAAGAAAACACGATGATTCTTATATTCAGGTGATTAGACACTAAAGAAAACGGTTATTATATTCCATTTCTGCCCCTAAATCCTGCACACTGGGCCTTTAAGACTTCACTTTGCAATGACTAGCATAGTTTTAAAATCACTTTTAAATTGGCAGTAGATATGAGGTTGGCACGGGTTACCATGGCGATTCATCTCTCGGGAAATGACATGGTAATTAAATTTAAGTGCGTCCGAAAATATACATACCACTGTTTATAAACACAAAGGTATGTTGAAGAATAGCACACATTTTGCCATCCAGTCGAGTGATCAAATCTAAGCCAGCGGGTTGCTTTCTCTCTCCTCTGTCCCATCTGTAATTATCTCACTTTAATTTGAAACACATTGTCTAAAAATATTTGTTTAACATCAGGGATTAAGACTCAAACTTTAGATTTTAATCACATAATTATGCATTCTATCGATTGAATGGCAGGAAACAAGATATTTTATGATTCTGTGTTACTGAAAGAACTGATGCTGAATTCTGTCTGAAGAAATAACCTGTTATGTTCTGTTGTGCTTTACGGTTGAACAAATGTTTTTATATCACTTGCAGTTATAGAAGCCTGAAGACACGGCTCCAGTGAGCTGATGTTGACTACTATGACAGAGTGCAGAGACAAATTTTACCTGTATTTCTTATGTGAGAGTCTATAATTAAACATGGCCAGATATTCTCTAAGTGGTGACCTGGTTATTTTCTCAACAAAGTCAGTGTGTTTATTAGGATACGATTCAAACACTGTTGTATTCACTACTTTTTAACTTGATTCCTGCTCACACTGAAGTAGTGGGATTTACATAGGTCAGCATACCAGTCAGCCTCCCTCACAGCAGACATCTTGACATGTCAATGCAGGAAAAGCTCAGCTGCTTGAATGACAATGAAAGATGGCTGGATTCCACCCAGATGGATTACTGGTACACTTGTGTTTCGAATGTGCTTTACGTGCTATAACATGTCATGTTGTCTACACTGTAAAAGGTCTATAGGGATGATAAAGGTGTGAGTCATCTTGCCTTGACAAGCACAACAATCACGCAGCCTGAGCAGATGTAATCTGAAGGCCAACAGGAAATCTCCGGCTACAGAATTACCACTCTAGTTTCTCTTACAGTTTACATCCATGTCTAATATTTGGGGATGTGGTTTGACAAGAACCTTACGTTGTCGACCCATATAGAGAAAATTATTGGGAAATGTAAAAAACATGACTGAAAAAGTTGGATGTAATTTGGTATCAGGCCCTGAGACTTTGTTGTGGCACAATAAAAACAACTCCAGTATCAGCTTTACAAGTGGAAATGAATGAAATGCTGTTGGAAATCAGACGAACTCAACTAGCGCTAACTTATTGGGCCAATTTAAAGGGCCATAAGGGGAGTCATCTGACTCAAATGGTATTGCGACCTTTTCAAGAGAAAGGAAAGAGGCCGATTAAGAGCTTCAGTTGGACAATAGGGAATACGGTTAATGGAATTGGGGTATAATGATAAGCCCCACTGTAACATTCTCTGCTGTCCCACCTTGGTTACTAGGAGAGATACATGTAGACATGCTTATGTTAGAGTGGAGGAAAAGGAGCTGTTTAGCATGTTTAGGTATTCACAGATGCTTCAAAAACAGACAATAATAGAGTCGGGGTTTCATTTATAATAAAAAGAGAAGAAGATATAATTTTGAGGTTTAGATTTGGACACACTGGTTTGAATAGTACACTTAAGTTAATTGGAAAACATGAAACCAGTTTGTGTGAATATTGTAATATGCAGCAAACAGCATATTACCATTTGTTGTCCAAAATACCAGCAGGAAAGATGAAGTCATCAACACATCAAACTGGAAAAACTACAGTTGAATTCAGGACATGTGGAATATAGGGCAAGATATTTGGAAAAGACAGGGATAGGCAGAAGAATAAAGGACTGCTAAGGACCACACTCCATTTCAATAGGTGGCGGTAATGCGCCGAAAAGCTGTTTGCCGACCGCCATTAAACAGATAGAAGAGGAAGAAGAAGAATCAGTAGTACCAAAGAGCATGGATACCAAGAGGCGAAGCTCAATAGAATGCCCCATAGCAACAGACTCGCCCATGGTTTCGTCCTACCGCCGCCATTTTGGACTGTCAGCAGACCGCAGCAAACCCGTTTGCATACAAAACCACACAGACAAACTGAAGTATATCGCTATTAATTATGCTTACAGTGCTACTCAGCTCGTGATAGCTTGGTCACAGCTGCTTTTTCACGTTTGTGTAAAGCAAAATATAGACTAAAAAAAAAACAAAACGAAGAAAAACGGCCTCTGGCATCTCTACATGTTACATCCACTTATGAGAACATTAACTTAATTACTCCTTCAAAATCACCCCTAGACTCACAAGTCAGTCTTTAGACGCTTTGCTTAAGGCGGAGATCTCTGATTGTCTGGTGGCGAGACTAAATCACCCCATAAGCCAATCTACCAAAAAATTATTATTATTATTTTTTTTTTTAAAAAATCAATATTTTAACTAGAAACACATGGCGACGTCACATAGTCAGGAATAAAGATTTATTTACAGTTTGTACAGTAAGGGGACAGTAATAATAATAATAATAATAATAATAATAGGCTATTTTAATATGATATATTTTAATGCTAAAGCAGTAATTAGTTCTGATATAAATGGTCCAAGAGGCCATATATATATATATATACAGTACAGGCCAAAAGTTTGGACACACCTTCTCATTCAATGCGTTTTCTTTATTTTCATGACTATTTACATTGTAGATTCTCACTGAAGGCATCAAAACTATGAATGAACACATGTGGAGTTATGTACTTAACAAAAAAAGGTGAAATAACTGAAAACATGTTTTATATTCTAGTTTCTTCAAAATAGCCACCCTTTGCTCTGATTACTGCTTTGCACACTCTTGGCATTCTCTCCATGAGCTTCAAGAGGTAGTCACCTGAAATGGTTTTCCAACAGTCTTGAAGGAGTTCCCAGAGGTGTTTAGCACTTGTTGGCCCCTTTGCCTTCACTCTGCGGTCCAGCTCACCCCAAACCATCTCGATTGGGTTCAGGTCCGGTGACTGTGGAGGCCAGGTCATCTGCCGCAGCACTCCATCACTCTCCTTCTTGGTCAAATAGCCCTTACACAGCCTGGAGGTGTGTTTGGGGTCATTGTCCTGTTGAAAAATAAATGATCGTCCAACTAAACGCAAACCGGATGGGATGGCATGTCGCTGCAGGATGCTGTGGTAGCCATGCTGGTTCAGTGTGCCTTCAATTTTGAATAAATCCCCAACAGTGTCACCAGCAAAACACCCCCACACCATCACACCTCCTCCTCCATGCTTCACAGTGGGAACCAGGCATGTGGAATCCATCCGTTCACCTTTTCTGCGTCTCACAAAGACACGGCGGTTGGAACCAAAGATCTCAAATTTGGACTCATCAGACCAAAGCACAGATTTCCACTGGTCTAATGTCCATTCCTTGTGTTTCTTGGCCCAAACAAATCTCTTCTGCTTGTTGCCTCTCCTTAGCAGTGGTTTCCTAGCAGCTATTTGACCATGAAGGCCTGATTGGCGCAGTCTCCTCTTAACAGTTGTTCTAGAGATGGGTCTGCTGCTAGAACTCTGTGTGGCATTCATCTGGTCTCTGATCTGAGCTGCTGTTAACTTGCGATTTCTGAGGCTGGTGACTCGGATGAACTTATCCTCAGAAGCAGAGGTGACTCTTGGTCTTCCTTTCCTGGGTCGGTCCTCATGTGTGCCAGTTTCGTTGTAGCGCTTGATGGTTTTTGCGACTCCACTTGGGGACACATTTAAAGTTTTTGCAATTTTCCGGACTGACTGACCTTCATTTCTTAAAGTAATGATGGCCACTCGTTTTTCTTTAGTTAGCTGATTGGTTCTTGCCATAATATGAATTTTAACAGTTGTCCAATAGGGCTGTCGGCTGTGTATTAACCTGACTTCTGCACAACACAACTGATGGTCCCAACCCCATTGATAAAGCAAGAAATTCCACTAATTAACCCTGATAAGGCACACCTGTGAAGTGGAAACCATTTCAGGTGACTACCTCTTGAAGCTCATGGAGAGAATGCCAAGAGTGTGCAAAGCAGTAATCAGAGCAAAGGGTGGCTATTTTGAAGAAACTAGAATATAAAACATGTTTTCAGTTATTTCACCTTTTTTTGTTAAGTACATAACTCCACATGTGTTCATTCATAGTTTTGATGCCTTCAGTGAGAATCTACAATGTAAATAGTCATGAAAATAAAGAAAACGCATTGAATGAGAAGGTGTGTCCAAACTTTTGGCCTGTACTGTATATATATGTATATATATATATATATATATATATGTGTGTGTGTGTGTGTGTGTGTGTGTGTGTGTGTGTTACCTTCCCTCCAAAACTGGCATATTAAATTGATATTAAAACACTTTAAAACTTACACCTCAGGAGTTCTTACCTGTCGGGATCCTTCGGGAAACGGTGGAAGGCCAGGTGCGGGGTGTTCCACTGATAGTTGTTGCAGTTAATTGCACTACACTGTTTTCTTTTACTTTTTTTCTCCTCTCTCCTTGACATCTTGCATGTTGTCTGGGCGCAACAGTCCAAGCTCAACAGTCCAAAATGGCGGCCCTAGTGGCTGTTGGCCAAAATTCAACGGAGCTTCGCCTCTTGGTATCCATGCTCTTTGGTAGCACTAGTAGTAGCAGTAGAGGTAGAAGAAGACGAAGCTTCCCGCGGGAGATCACAGTCAGCGGAGCTAACAGCGAACCAACTTGCTGAAGCTATTAGAGACATTGTTATTTTACTTTTCCAACATGGAAACAACGCGCGAAAAAAACACAGAAGAACCCCCATCCACTGTGGGAGCTGAACACGATGAAGATGAATATGAAGAATCAGGAGCAGAGAGTGAAGAGTGGATTAATAAAGAGGAGGAAAGTGACGACTCTGACGAGCAGTAAGTGGCCTACATTAACTTTCAGTGTATGTGAAACATGTATATGCATAGTTTTATTTGTTGTATATTTAGTGGTCATTTGGACGGAGAGTGTTTTATGGTTTTAGCAAAGTACCAGATGGTCCAAACAAGTATCCATCACGTTTACCTCCACCACATAGACATGTATATATGTCTATGCTCCACCAGACCGGCTCAAAGAAACGATGTGAGGAATTCACATGGTGGGGGGTTGGGGAGGAGGGTGGAGAGCCCCCCCCAAGGGAAGGGGGGAAGGGAAAATCTTGGTGAGGACCACCACGGTGTAAAGAAAATCCCACAGTGTTTACACAACCTTGCGTCGATAACATGCGACGGCGGATGTTAATGAGATCATCTATCCTGTTGAAACCAGCGACTATGTTCTGAAACTAAATATTTCACCCTGTGCGTCCTTACAGTGTTGTTTCATGCAGGCTACATAAACATGGACACCCCAGCCCCCCAGGAAAGAAGCTCGCCCTTGCAGCAAGTGTTTTTCTCTCCCAGAGGCCACTTGTAGTATTGCAGCCAAAAAAATCACCTGCAGCCCAAAAAGCATTTTCCCCATAGACCTCCTCCTTTCATACAAACATGCAGCCAAAGTTGGGATGACACAGACACAAGACATTAAAATATTGAAAAAGCAAAGCAACCAAAACAGAGCAAACTCACAAAACAATCAGGAGAGATCAAATAAAGTAAGAACTAATGGTTAAAATTTTAAAATCAAGACTGTAATGTTCCACCAGATTAAAAAGATAGGTCTTTAATTTAAAAATACATTACAGTATTTATACAATACTCGCCATTCCTATATCCAGAGGTAGTGAATTCCACAGTTTAGGGGCGTAAAAACAGGAAGCACTCTCACCAGGACTTTTATGGGACAAATGAGGAACATTTAAAAGTAAAACATAAACATAAAATAATAGAAAATTTGATGTATGGAGGGGTAAGGTCATTTAAAGCTTTATAAACAAGTAAAACAACTTTAAAATCAAGTCCAAAAGACACAGGGAGCCAGTGTAGTGACTTCAGTCAACAGTCTGGCTGCGGCACTCTGGACTAGCTGTAGTTACTTATTGACTTTTTGGGTAGTCCGGTGAAAAGGGACTCAAAACTGAAAATTCTTGACAGGACACCTCCCACTGCAAACAAGAACAATTATGAATCTTTCTTTTCTGAATTTTTGAACCCTGGAGGTTTTACATTTGTAAAACTTTCCTCAAGCAGAGAAAGGCGATTTTAAAATCGGTGACATCATCAAAATGTAATGAAAGGGGGGTCAGTCAGTAGTAATATATACCAAAATTATATGCGTATTCTATATGAAAAACCACCTGTCGTGCCTTTGAATAGTAAGAAAGGACAAGAAAGAAATGAAAAGGAGGGGGAAAGTAGCAAAGCTCCGTAAATTGGATTTTTGAGCTTTTTAAGCAGTTGATAGTGGTGTGTGTGTGCACCTTACAACTAGTAACTAGGGACCATCACCATACCGTGAACTCAGGCCTGTGGTAACTTCCTTACGTCGCTGGTCGGCACCATAACAACAGGGTCGTTCGAGATGAAGTGCGCCACACCTGGAAAGTGGAAGAGATCAGGCAGCTGTAGCAGAAGACGGTGACAAAAAGCCACGTGTCGTACAGTCTCCAACAGCCCTCAGTCTGTACAGGAAGTCACAGAAAACATTGCCATCAAAGATGCAGCAGTTTGGGAAAAGTGGTTTGTTAATGTCAGTAGATTTGAGACCATCAGTGACTTTGTTTAAGTACGTGTAGTTTGGTTAGCAGGTCATGTCTTTCCTTAACCTGGCAAGATGACACATACATACGACTTATAAGAACCCCTGCACTTACTCAGCCTCCATGCAGCCCTGATGAGAGGGATTCCTCCTCCAGCGATCAGTCACCCTCAGAGGAAGATGAATAATTTATCCCGCCAAACCACTGATCTAATCTAATCATCTGATTCCAGCTCCCCTGCTGACAATGACAACACCATGGAGACGAATGACGCTGTACCTAGTTCTGGGTGGACATCCAAGAGTGGGCTGGAATGGTCTCCAACTGATGCAGACACCATGCGCTACATTGCTCCGCCCATCAAAGCCACCGGACCTACACGTTATGCCATTGACAGGATCACTAACCTGGAAGATAGTTTTGAGCTCATGGTAACGCCTGAAATTGTCAAACACATCACGGAAATGACGAACCTCCATGGCAGACGCACTGTGAAGAATTGGACGGACACCGACACTACTGAGATTAAAGCCTACATCGGGCTGTTGATCTTGGCCGGCGTCTACAGGTGAAATAGTCTCTGTTATGTTTGTATATTGGTGTGTGATTTCAATCTGCACATTACTGTGAAGCACTGATAAGTTCTACTGTTCCTACAGGTCTAGAAATGAGTCGACAGTCAACCTCTGGAGGGACGGCACCGGGCGGCCCATCTTTACCGCGACCATGGCGCGCAAGAGATTTTCACAGCTCTCCACCGTCATCCGTTTTGATGACAAGCAAACCCGGCAGGCACGTTTAGTCCGCCAGCCGGACAAGCTGGTGGCGATTCGGGTGATTTGGGATAAATGGCTGCGTCAACTTGAGAGTGTTTTCATCCCAGACCGGGAAATTACCATAGATGAAAAGGTGATCCTATTCAGAGGCCGGTGTCCTTTCCAGCAGGCCATGCTCAAAAAGCCATTCAGATCCGGCCTAAAGATTTGGGTACTGTGTGATGCCCAGACCTCATTTGCATGCCGTATGCAAATACATACAGGGAAGACACCAGATGGTGCTCCTAAAACCAGCCAGGGCAAACGGGTCGTCCTGGAACTCACTGAGGGGATGAAAGGAAATACGGTGACTTGCAACAGCTTTTATACATCGTACAGCCTGGCAGAGGACCTCCTGCGGAGGAAGATCACGCTTGTTGGTCACATCCACAATAGCAAGCCTGAGCTTCCCCCAGCTCTGCTGCAGATGAGGAGAAGGGTTATAAACTCCGCCGTCTTTGCTTTCCGCAAGAAAGCAACCTTGGTGTCGTACATCGGGATGCCTAGGAAAAATATCATCCTACTCAGCACCAAGCATCGGAAGCCTGAAGTGACCAGCGGGAAGAGTCGCAAGCCCCAGATGGTGCTGGATTACAACCGCTGGAAGAAAGGCGTGGACGTCCTGAATCAGGTATTTATGTTTATATTCAGTAGCCTCATTCTTGCATTTATATAAATATATATATATATAAATATATATTTGTGTACGGTGAGGAAGAATACTTATTCAATTTTTCTTTGGTCTTTTTTTTTATTATTATTATTATTATTATTATCTTGCAGCTGGTGGCCACCTACTCGTGTAGGCAAAGGACATGCCGTTGGCCGATGGCCCTTTTCCACCACGTCATTGACGTGTCTGCCGTCAATGCATCAATCCTGTGGACAGCGGCGCAGCCCAACTGGAAGCAGGGCAACCCGACCCGTCGGCGGCTCTTCTTGGAGGAGCTGGGGAGGGCACTGACCTTTCCACTGATGGCCACAAGGCAGCGCCTTCCCCACCAGCCAGGTGCTGCTGCCATGGTGACACAAGCCCAGGACCTTGCCCCTGTCACTCCCTTGTGCAAATCACTCAAGGACCCAAGGAGGCAGTGCAAATACTGCCCAGTCAAAAAAAGGAGGATGGTCACAACCATCTGCCAAAAGTGTGATAATTACACTTGCAAAGAACACACCACAGTCATTTGTAACACGTGTGCCCCTTCTGTCTGGTCTAGACTCTCTCACACACACACACACACTGCCTCTGTTCCTGTCTGTTCTAAATGAATGTTGTTGAATAAATATTGGTTTTCTTGTCCAAAGTAAACAGTTTTTTTTTTCTTTTTTTTTCTTTCTTTCTAGAGAATCCTGAATATGATAATGGAAATATTTTTTATGCTCAAGTCTGAAGTTGGAGCAGTACAGTCATTTAGTATTCATATTCATGTAAAATACACAACAATGGTTATGAGGGTATTAAATGGATTACTTTAATAATCTGACAGTGCATTCAAAAACAGAAATGTATCTAGATCAAAGTTGTTGTTGACCATATACCAGACTGTCATAAACCCTCTCAAAAACATCCACCTGGCATTTAGTATGTTATTTCTTATTCTTTTAATGGTGGGCATTTATAAAATAACATTTATTGTGCATAACGGGGCTGAACTGGATTATTGTGGAATATGCAAGAGGTGTTGAGATGTGCCTTGCCACGGCAAGCTGTGCCGGAGATGGACCTTCTCAGGAGTAGGTCCAATAGCCGGGCCCTCGAGCAGGTAGGGTGAGGTCTTGCCGACTGCGGCCAGTTCACTATCAGCTGTATTAGAAGTTGCTGCTCGAAAAACTCAACATTTCCTTATGTTGCTGCTTCACTATAAAAATTTTACATAACGAAATAACAGGAGACTTTTATTGTGAAGAATCTATAGGCCATAAAATGTGTGATTACTGATTTGGCAAAACTTTGTGAGCAGCCTCTCTTCAATAAAGGTGAGGCTAATGATACTGCAGGGAGGAAAGTGAAAGCAGTAACAGCCACAGTGAGATGTTGATGAAGAGCTGCAGACAACAGGCTCTTACTGCACCTCTGCAAGCAGCTCACCTCCAACAAGTAAACTTCTTTTACCCGCCCTGCTGTGGAAAAACACATGCAGCAAAAATAACAGGGGACTTAGACATCATCACTCAAGACCAGCCATCGCCAGTTTAAGACACACCTTCAAGAAGGTAGCCTTGTTGTAATGGAAATACAAATCCCTGCTGTGCTGGGCTGACAGCCCAAACCAAGCAAAACCAGGCCAAGCCAAACCAGCCCATGACTGGAAAAGGGGTAAAAGTCTGTTCCTTCTCCTTATCTTTCTTATCTTGGAGAATTGATCCCACAATAGCCAGTAGTGACATACTTTAATATTTAGAACTATTTGATCCTTTTCTATGGCTCTCATGACAAGTTGTGGTGAAGTCACAGCTGAATCCAAATGTCCTCCCTCTGGACTGAGCCCTCGCTCACTTCAGTTGTACATAGTGTGACATATTTACTGTCATCACGTAAAGTCTGCGAGGGCAGAGACTGCGAATGGCTGATAGACAGCCCTCGAGACTGTTTTTCTTATTGCCGTGGAAACACTTAACTATGGCTGCTGTCATATTCATATATATGTCATATAAGGTGATGAACAGTGCCCACTCATCTGTTCCCGCAGATAACAAGATATAAATCCCATGATTAGCCTTTTTGTGACTGAACAAAAAATGTATTAATACATCTCTATATAACAGGCTACACGTTCAAAAACAGAAATGTAAATAAGGACAGGAAATAACTCAATATTCAGCAAACTGAGGCTAAATAAACTGTGTCTGACTATTAGGTTAATGTTTTCAGAGGAAAAAAAAATACAAGACAACAGTTTTTTTTAAAGATCAATCAGATACAGTCAGGGCTTCACATCTGTACAGATGTTATTTTAGGAATCCTCACATCCCACTGACCACCAGTCTCTGTGATGTTTAATACTTCAATAATTAAACAGTCCAGTGTTAATACACAGTAGACTACATATAGTTCATGATACAGTTAAAATGGCCAAAAATGTGAACAACTGAGTTGCAGGATGTGCCCCTAAATCTTCTGCTTGTGCTCCTAAATTTTTCAGTGAGGAGCTACAGTGCTCCCACTAAAAAACGTTAGTCTGGAGCCCTGATCCCATTTAATACAAAAGCTACATGTTAGTCAGTGTTAGTGGGTTTTTTCTGCAGTGGTTTAGAGGCGTAAGGGAACTGAGATGCACCCTGTTCAACCACAGCCTACACATTTCAGTGTCATTACAGGGGTCAGGTGATATCAGTCTATCTCAGCCATCTCATCCTGTGTGAGAGGTGAAACAAAAAAACAAGTTCTTGTCTGACATATATATGACTGGATACTTCAAACCTTTTAATTTGTTTTACAGTGATGACGAGGAACTGGATGATTCAGACTCTTTGTTTTGGTGACAGTAGCAATGGCTACACCTCAAACTTTGCTGTGTTCTCTGGAAAGCCACAGTTGGCATCAGACTTTGGAACTGGATATGACTCGGTTATGTCCCTGATGAATACAGTATAGTTGGGCAGTGGATTTCATCTACATGTGAAAACTTCTACACCAGTTCACAGCTCCTCCAGGATCTATTTAGCGTGAGTATCAGAGCATGAGGCACATACAGAGACAACAGAAGAGATTGCAAACACACAGGCTCAGTTATTCCTAGAGGCTCCTTCAGATGGATCCGTGATGACCCACTGGTTTTTGTGAAGAAGGTGGACTCACGAGAGGTCTGTGTCTGCTCTACAATCCACACGGCATTCTCTGGAAGCACTGTGGCAATCGCTTCTCAAGCTGATGTGAGCTAGAAGACCTCCCATGGACACAGAGCCTGTATACACTGCCGGCCGACCAAGCAGGTGAAGCATAACACCTCCTGAGAGTGTAAAGAGTGTGATGTGGCCCTCTGTGTCATTGCAGACAGGAACTGCTTTCAGGAATGGCACAACTAACTTTTTGGAGCGTGATCAAACAGGGCCTTATCTGAAAGAACTGAAATACTTTTTTGAAAGAATAGTTTTTGGTGTTTTGCCCTTATTAGATAGGACAGCTTCAGTGTGAAGCTGTGTGACTGTGATTTGCTCCACCTATTGGTGATGCTCACCTAGTCATCATCAGGTGTGTAACAAAGGTGTGACCTATATAACAGAGCAGTGTACCTGTGTCTCAGTATGCTTGTTGATACTGAAGAAGGCCCAAAGGTCATCAAATAAAAGAAATGCATATGGAGCCAGAGTGCAAGACACTTGTTTTCTACAATCAAGTGAAAAGCTGATCCCCCATCACACATGGTAAACCTACACTGGTGACTTCAGTTTTTCAGGGTCTCATCGGTTATATATAGGTTCCCTTCTCACTTACCTTTGTACCCTTTAAAGCAGTGTTTATTTTTTGTGCCCAAGGTACACCAAAGGGCAAGCAACAATCTCAAGGCACACCTGTATTTATATCTGTGCACAATAACTTCCATAATGTGTTAGGTCATCCTTGCTGGTGCTTTGTTGTAATTTGCTCCATACAATAAAGCGATCTATTGTCCCACTCGCGACTTTCTCCTTTTAAATGTTATCATCCCTCATACTGGCTGCCAATCAGGGCTTTTGATGTGTCACACTCTTATAATTCCCACATGCAGACAGTGATAAATAGGCTCTCTGTGAGCGTTTTTAAATTAAATTAAATTACATTGTTTAGCTAGAGCTTACCTCTTTATCATCATCATGGTACTCATTCACGGAATAGGTTGTTGCGTCACACTCCCTTATACATGGAATGATCTACAAAAGACCTTAAACTTGGACACTCTGCCGCCCTTATGGCAGTTTAAGTGCCTTATTTCTGATGTTTTAATTGAATGTAAATGTTTTGAACTATACATCTACACCTTAGCATGTTTATCACCCTGTATTTCTACTTTTAGCAATCATTTATTGCTGTTGTTTTTTATGATTTCATTTTTGTTTTAATTGATATGCATAATTGTTCTTTGTTTGCTTATTGTTTTAATGTCTTTGCTCATGCTCAGCATCATTGAAAATGAGGGTCTCCCTCAGTTGATTTCCCGAGTCTTAAATAAAGGTTTGAATGAATGAATTATTGCTTGTTTTGTTTATTTTTATTAGTACTTTTTTCTTTTCTTTCCTCTTCTTCCCTCACCCTTTCACCTGTCAACCTGTATAGATGTACAGACACACACGACAGCCAACATAACCTCGTCCTCTTATCCCCTGACGACACTTAACTGTGTTCACTTTTGTATTCACTGTCTTAGTGTTTTGTATTGTCTTGCAACAAATAATTCTAATAAAAAAGAACATTTACCCATCTACTAGAGAAGCAGTGACATGTAGGAACCACAACAGGCTGAGTGCTGCACCTTTTCAACACTGTTCTGTATTACAAACTTGAACACCATTTCACATAACGTATAAATCACACCAGTCAGACACCCTCTAAAATGAAACCGTCTTTATTAAGTAACTTTAATATCAGAAAAATAAAACTCTTAAATTCTCTTTACAGCAAATATATAATATCAGTGCTTTGGCCGCAATAACTTAAAAGGCCGTTATAAAATATAGTCTGCTTTTAAACTCCTGACTCAATTTGAAGAATTTATATGCCATAAGACTCCCCCTACATATACATAACAAAAGTGTAGTAAAATTAGCAAATACTTTGAACTGTTGGTACATCTTAACAATATATGTATTATTTATATATAGATAATCTAAGATACATTGTACAGTATACCGTTCTTAATTTGGTGGCGTACAGACATGACAGGCAGCTTGAATCCTTGGCCTCTGTACAGTTGCAGTGTGACGTTTTACATTGGCGGTACATTATGAAGACATGCTCGTGATGCACATTCCATTTTCCACTAGGTTAAAACGGCAGCTATCAATACTATTATCATCAATACTGTAAACTAATAACTAGACTACAAGCAGATAGCATTGACACCCTCTTCCTCCTGCATCATCTCTGGGTTTCCAACTCTTCATTCACTTGATCACTCAGAAAAAAAAAGTTAAAAAAAAAAAAAATTAAAAATCTTACTGTAAACATTTTAATATAGATATATTTATGTATATATATGAAATGTAACAAAATAAAAATAAGTTCTGTATATTTATCAGTCATTAACAGTAATATCGTATAATACATACACAAAAATGTCAATAGATTCATGTCAATAAACCGAGGGCCGACAGTGTATTGCATTCCCTCAGAGAGAGTAAGAGAGCAAAGAGAGATCAACTCCTCGTAGAGCTGAGAGAAGTCAAATAAAAAGGACGGAGAGAAGACCCGAGGGGACAAAAGCAGATGGGGTTTTTTTTTGCACTTTTGGGACTCATTCTGTTCAATTTCCTCGAGGAAACTCAAATCATCCCCGACGGATGATATTTAAAAAAACAGAGCCAAGCAATAGAATAACTCCCAAATACTATTAACAGCTGGAATGCTAGACGGACTGTGGTCCAATGTCCACAAAGTAAAGCAACAGCATTGACCTTATGTAGCGTCAGCACGGTTTATGGTGAAATCATTCCAGCTGCTTCCCCTTCGCAGTGTCCGTCAACTCATTCAATCCTGTCAAAGTCTAGAGACACAGGTGTTTAAAGCTAAGATCTGAGATGAATCTGTACCTTTTCTTTACTGGTCGGACGAAGGAAGGTGGGGGTCAGCCTGTGTTCTGGATCCAAACTTGTCAATAAAGTGATAAGATATGGGGAAGGACAGTAAACAAATGAGCTGATGAGACATGACAAGCAAAGCGTGTGCCTTCGAAACATCTCATCAGTGCATTGGAGCAGCTAATGAACCCCGACTCAAACACAGTAGGAAAAACAGAGGGAAGATGTCCGTCTACAACTTTACCCCCAAGATGTCTGGAGCTCTGTGATTAAAACCAAAGTAGTTTTATTGATCTAGTGCTTCCTCGAGTTAAGATACTGAGATGATTGTTGCATAGGCCTGGTAGACACGGTCTCAATTTTGCATCCCAATAGAATTATGCTCACCAATGAGGACACAAAATGGCTGTGAGGAGCGGCCACTGGGTGGAGCAGTTCCAATGAAAGGAAATGGTAATATTGAGATGGCTGAGGATTTTTTTTTCCAGATTACAGCTCTCTTCGTAGCAGAGTTTCAAAGAATATCAGCTTTTTTGGCTCCCAGGTGAGGTTCCACTAACCTAGCCATACTCCTACCATCTTCATAAGTGACAGCAATAGGGGGGGTGGAGGAATGTTTCCATAGGGACAAGCTGTGCACATCTTTCTGGCTGAAAATCAGCACACGGTTTCCCCATACTAGGATGTTCTCGAGAAATAAACCAAAAGGCAAAAAACAATGAGAAGGAAAATAAAGATGGAAACAGAAATAAACTAAATGGGAGTGTCTGGTGCAAAAAAGATAAAAGCAATAGGTGGGAAATACTTGAAAAAAGGCTCAACAGAAATAGGAAGCAAAAGAAAGCACCCCTGTGATATAATACCTTTGTTCCACCGAGATGCCTTTAAGAGATTGAACTTTAACGAATACATTAAGACCTCGGTCTGTCAGCTTGTGATCTATCGAGCCAAAATCTGGATTTGTAGATAGTGTTGTCAGTTAATTACAGGCTTTCCAAAAAAAGGCCACGTTTGTTTTAAGACAGAGCAACACTGTACGTCCACTGAACCAGTTGTTTCTCTTTGTTTACAGAACGGAATCAGGCACGAGTTTACCGTAAACAGTTTCTTTAAAAGTAGAAATGGGAAGCAACGTGGCAATACAGAATGCCTGTAACGTCCTGGTACTCTAGAAAAAAAGGATTTATCCGCAGACTCTGGTCTGGGAAAGAGAAACCTGAGGCAACAAGAGGTTGCCATAGGCCTTTTCCAAAGATGGCATTTTGACACATCACAGTAGGAACAACATGGGTGTAAAAAAAATACAATAAATGATGGCTGAATTCCATTTAGCTGCTCTGAATGCTTGCTCACTGTCACTCTCACTGCAGCCCTTGGATTTAACAGTGCCATCGCTCATGTTATTAGTTCCGCCTGTGCTTTTCCTACTATGAAAAGTCAAAATGTCTGCTATGAGAAAGGCTCACTGGAGTGTGACATTTTTTGTAGTTGCAGGTCTGACCCACTTGGTTTAAAAACTCTCCGTGGGTGGGTTTGCATGTGTATCAATATGCTCTTAAAAATTCAGAAATTCTGATTTATGATCTGGAGCGTGTAAACATCATATCCTGCTTAAAGGTGCACTTCCCTAGCCTGATAATATTTACGCAAATTATCTGGGATAGAGTGGCTCTTGCCAGGATAATGCAGCATGTGTACGTTGTTTCCAGTTCACCGCGGTAGGCATTTAAAATCTGTGGTAACCAGGAAAATACTATTAGTTTATACATATTCATATGTGGGACTCACTATATGTAAACATGCTCACTTCTTTTCTTTCCTTAAAGTTTGCCGTGAGCACAACAAATGAGGCAATGGGGCCATATTTCAGCACATAAAAACAACTGTAGCAGCAAAATAAAATTTAAAAAAATGGACAAAAATTTTGAGATGTAGACAAAAAAATATCTTTGACCCGAAAGCCAACATTATGTATCTAATATAATTCAAAGTACATATAAACAATTTGATAAAATACAGGTAGGCAGAAACTGATAACCAGATGCTTCAGGGAGAAGAAAATGTAAATCAAAAATCACAATGAGCAAAAAATATATATATCCCGCCCCACCCAATGCTACACAGAGGGTTTCCAACCCTCCCATTGATCAAATCAATCAATCATGGAAGAAGACTTCACAATATCAGGCACATGAACGGGCCGAACACCCTAACCCATGCCCTAAATACAGATCATTCTTAAGTCACCTATTCTTTCTCACCTTTGTCAACCAAACACCAGCTTGGACAAAACAGGGGTGAGGACACACCTAGACACTGATTTGGGGCCAGTTTTGTAATTTCCCCACACATTATGAATTTGAAGTGTTGGGGAGGCTGATCCCTCATCAGGAAATGGATCGAAATCACATGTTACGGAGCTGAATGGCCTGTGTGACTGGGGACAGGCACACAGGGCAAACAGCGTCTGGACCCTGGCATATGTGTGTGGCACAATCTAGACAGAAGAGGTTATGGCCACAGGGAACCAAGGCAGCGATCACCTGGTTATCCATACAGTGGATGCATATCTCCTGCCCTCTCCCTGCTGATCCGAGCCCCGGCCGATAGGAGAGGGAGGATTCAGGGGGGGAGGAAGAGGAGGCGGTGCTTTCACTGGAAGAGGAGAAGGCGGAGCTGTAAGAGGGGAACCTGTGGGCGTCGAGGGTCCCAGCCGAGCCGAAAGGCCCTCGATGAACTCGCTGGGCCTGAGGGTGCTCCAAGGCGTCTGTCCCCGAGAAGGTTGGAGAGAGCCGAGGCGTCCCAGGCTGACTGGTCTGGAGAAATCAATATCAACAGTTACTAGATGACATGAACATAAAGCATGCTTCTTAAATTTCTTTATCAACATAATGGATCATTGATGCATTTTCTGGGCTGTCAGAGTCACTGCACTGCACAGACTTTGTCCTTTTTCTTTCCAAACTAAAACTTCCAGGGCTGAAAAATGTGTTTTGACATCAATCAGCCTACGCCGTAGCGTGCGATTCAGTAGGCGTTGTCATCGTACAGTCTGCATACATCAAACCAGATGCCCGTGTTAAAATGGCCAACTTTACAGCAGAAGTAAACATGTTTACAACCCACTACAAAAGCAGTTTTGGTCACTATAACGAATTTCACTCTTCATGACAACTGTACCAAGGGGTGAATTTTTATATAACTCACCCTTTTAAATGGTATTAAGGCTTTAAGATATGAATAATGAAGGGTGTGGCCACTTTGAGCGACAGGTGGGTGGCACGAGACAAGCAATTGGTATATCCATAAGTGCAGTAGTAATCACAGTTTTGACAGTATCATAACACAAACACCCCATATTGTCTACAATGAAATATATACAAGGCAAACTGTGGCACTTTATTTATTGTCTCCACAGCAGGTCATAAACTGTGTGCTCCTGTTGAATTTCAGATACCTGAGACTGACGTGCATCGAAGGCCTGGGGGGGTTGGTGGTCCACAAAGGGGCTCCAGATTTGTGGCTGCGCAGCAGGGTGCGAGGCTTGGGCAGTTGAGATGGTTAATGGGTCAAACCCCGAGGAGGATGACGATCCGCCTCCCAGGCTGACCAGCTCGTCGGACCCCATAGGAAGAAGGCTCTCACCAAACCAGAAACTTGTATTGCCGCCATTACTGTTGTTGTTGTTGTTAGCGTTGGCATTAAACTGACAGGTTGGGCTGAAATCCGCCATCCGGTTACCATTACTGCTGCTGTACATAGAATCAGCTGAACTGGAGCCGCTGCCCAGAGAGCTGGAGCTGTCGTTGCGGTAGGTGGAAGACATCCTGACACCACTGTTAATATTGCTATTGATTCGCTGAGTACCATTGATGCTCACTGGCAGCAAGCCACCACCACCACCACCACTTGGTGATGATGCACCAGCATGAAGCCACCCAGCCTCCCCCAACCCAACTGGTGGTGCAGAATGCTCAAAGCTGACGTCTGTCCCGTTGAATTGAAAGTCATTGTTGTCTACACCAGGGGCCTCAATGCCTCCACAGGTTCCTGTGCGGAGGGCGATGTGCGCCTCTATCTCATCCCTTGCCCGGTCCACGTTCTCCGGCATCCCGGTGACCTCAAACACCGGCTCTTTGTCACGGCTCGGCGTCACAATGTAGGTGTGGGTTTGTTGCTGAATACGTTTGATGGTTGCCCCTGAAAGACATGACCAGACCAAGACCCTTGTACTTCAACAGTTGCACACTGAGTTTCAATAACTGCTCTGGTCACATGGCTACATGCCTGTCAAGCGTGAACCATTAAATTTAATTTGACACGTGATATGTGTGACCATTCCTAAGAAATATACATCTGAGCATAAACGAATGGCACATTGAAGAAGAAAAAAATAATCAAGTGTGTGATTGTATTAATAGTGCTAAATACATCAGCTGGAGAACAGATGTGTGTATTTCATTGTTGTTTCATAACTACAGCATGACTCGAGTGTCAAGTTGGCAAACTAGTCCAAGCAGTAAGATTAAAAGACTGTCACAGTAACAGCATTAAATAGTTTCAGTCAATACACTTGTTTTTTTCCCCTAACAACAACATCTGACACTAAAATTAGAAGAAACACAGCTGTCCAATAATAACAGGGCACAACTGCAGGCTGTTCTGGTGACTCAGCTAACAGGGGTGCATACCAACTAACCACAACACTGTGAGTTTCAGTCTTGTGTAGCAGCTTCTCAAACACCAACCATATATATCTGGATAAGACTAAATAAGCAGAGAGTACATGAACAAACTTAATCGCCGCAATGAATTGGCAAGTAACACACACTTTTTATCTCAGTGCTTGTACACACCAATTGTTAAATATCAAAATTCCTCACTGCCTCTCCTCACCATTTCCAAATCTGTTGTCATTCTGACTGGTGACCTCGCCCTCTCCAGCCTAATGGCACATGGTTGAGAACCGCCGCACTTCAATTTACAAATCAACCCCAGGACTTTCTGACACCGAAGTGCTAATGTCAACAGGGCAAGGGGTTAAAGACTCAGTGAGAGCAAAATGTAACCTTCTGGAGTAAAGCTTAGCATATTAGAACTCTTCCAGAAACTGCAAGCAACTTATAACACACTATTAGATAATGTATAATTTCCTGTAAATGCTTGGAAAAAATGTTGTGTACAGTATTATCTATTACAACAATGTGGTTCATTTATTAGTCAAGAACCAAGTAGATAATTACTTTCATTTAGACAAAGTCACCTTCTGGGAGTATAATTTTCATATTCCCAAAACCTAAGTTTCATAATGTGAAAATAATGAACTAAAAATGTATTGCCTTACTGTAAATACTCATGCTGTTCCTTCCACTGTGTAAAACAAATTTAAAAACATCCAAAATTCTGCACACTTGTTTTTACCTGTTTGCTAGTGTTGTACAAGATTGTTGTTTTTCTATTCACACTAAAAAGTAACTATCGAAACAAAACTCTTTTTACAACAGTCCTGCAACTGGAGCAAAAACTACTCGATGAATAACAAGACTCACCTTTGGGACCCACGACCAGCCCAACAACACGATATGGTACCCGCACCTGAAGGGTTGAAATGACACAGGGTAAGTATACACACTTTAAATGGCCGACACAGCCAAAAACACTGAAAGCCTCTTATATATAAACAACAGTGCATGGTGACATACACAACGCTGTATTATAATGACTTCACATAATGTGATTCACTGCATAGGAATGTCTGTTTTCGTAACACTGACCGACCCTATGACTCATAACCCTATTTGCTGACCTGAATGGTCGTCTGTCCAGGTAGAGAGGGGGTCCCTGGACCGGTTACAGCAGTCAGAGGGCCCGTCTTGTTCCGTGAGGCTCTGATGAGGGAGAAGTGCTCGGCTGCAGACAAGATCTCCCTCTTAGCCATGGCCACATCTTCTTTGCGCCCCGTCACAACAAAGACAGGCTGCTCTCCCCTCACCGGTGTCTTAATGTAGGTGTTGGTCTTGGCTCGCAGCGCTTTAATCTTACAGCCTGTCAGAGGCAAGTTAAAGAGAGGCAAAGAGAGGCAGAGGAATGTTGGATCACTTCCGATTCACTTTTAAAATGTACCACACTGCATTACATACACATCACATTAAACTTTAATGATGGACATATAAAAGATTATGGCATCGCAATTTCAGTTTCCAGTCATTAATGCCATTTAAGAGTAGCATGTCTTATAAATTAAATATTCCTTTCAGCTGTGGTTGAGAGTCCAGCATCATTACCAGAGCCATTTCCTGTTGTTGTCAACACTGCAGTCTGTGTGCACCCTCCCCCAACTGGTCTCAAAGACGACATAATAACATTCTCCCAACCCTGCCATTGAGCTGTGTAAAGTTTATGTAAAAGACCAGATAAAGGCGTTGGATATGTAAGAAAAGCCGGTCGTGTTTAGCTGAACCCAGAAGTCTTGGTTATGTCACGGAGCTAACTATAACCTACAGCTGATGTGGCAGAGCAATGGTGACCAGCAGCCAGCACACTGCTTTTCATGTTTTCCTCCGAGACAAAGCCAAGCCCGGTTTAGCACGACGAGGCACGGCTGAGGACAGACTGTCTGTCCGCAAAGCACAGACAAAACATCCATAACCCAGACGTGCTGACAAAGCAAGAAAACACAGGGGGGTCTGTTGGTTCATATAACTTGTGATGCAAAGTTTTGTTGAGGGTGTTGGGCGAGTGGCGGTGTTGACCCAGTTAGGATTGCTAAGCTAGCTGGTTTCATGCTAACTGTTGTTGCTTATGAAGCTGAACGGCAGTTATGTTTAATTGTTGGTCATTTATTTAATATCTAAACTATAAAACACGAGTGAGGTGTCCCATATAAAAAATGTAGCTTCTAAAAATATTAGTTTATTATGTAAAATGGCGCGTAACCGTTAATGTTGGTGCTGCTGACAACAATAAGTTACTAGCTAACGTTAGCTTGTTGACTAACGGCAGTTCCCACTTGCGACAAATAATCTATAATTTAGCTTAACGTTTAATCATAATTCTGCGTTGTATTTATATTTTAATATTTTGCTGTTATCGTGCATTATATTCACTGTCCTTTTAAGATGTGTGTAATATTATTTTGCCTACTTAACTGTTTTTATGAACTGTCTTCCCACCAAGTTTCGTCCCAACTCCCATTAGCAGCTAAACATTAGCTAATGGATCCAAGAAAAAAAAAATCCCGAAAGACAACACCGACTCACCCTGTCTGCCCACGATCTCCGCGACGTGCTCGGAGCTCGGCACCGCCACACACTCGGTTGTGTTGACGCTCTTTCGCCGAGCCAACAGCGCCGACTCGGCCTCGTAGCCCGACTCCCCGTACACGCCGGGCGGCAGCATCGCCATGCTGCCAGCCGGTGGTAGGGCGCTGCCGCCGACTCCAGTATCGTCCCGGTCGTCTCCATTGTACAGCAATACCGTCTCGACGTGCGGCGGCTCCATCCCGGACGGCATCACGGAGCCACCCGGCCCCGGTGGGAGGTGTTGGTGGCGGTGGGCCTGCACTAACAGCGAGGAGTCGGCTACAACTTCTGGCTCCTCGTCCTCGGGCGCAGCCGTTTTGTTCACCTCATCTCCCGAGGGCGGCCGATGCAGAGGCAGCGGCTTCAAGTCTAAGACCGTACCGAGGAGGCTGAAATGGGACACCGGGGGGAGCTGGTGGTGGCGGTGAAAGGAGATGCTCTCGTCTATTTGTTCGGGGGTCTGGCTCTGGGTGCCGTGGTGCTCCTCAAGGCCCATACCGGCGAAAGCGTGCACTAGCGGCGGTGGGACCTCGGACTCTCCCTCGTCGGCCTCCAGCAAAGACGTGCTGCTCGGCATGATGCAAAACTTTTCTAAAATTGACGTTAAACGGAAATCGATACGAATAGTGAATCGATTTTGTTTGGGCTTAAAAATAAAAATAAAAAGCGACCAGCGCCTGTTGGTTGAAATGTGTGGCTTTTGTTTTGTCTTTCCAGTTTTCCATGCAGCCCTCCCTCCCTACACTGTAATCCCGCACTGCTGGTTATCGCGAGACTTCATTTATGGGTCAGACGTGTATTCACAACTGTCAGGAGGACGCACTGGGCGCGCATCTTGCAGGGGTGTTATATGTGTGGTGTTGTCATGAGAATAATTCATGGTAATTTATGTATATACAGTACAGGCCAAAAGTTTGGACACACCTTCTCATTCAATGCGTTTTCTTTATTTTCATGACTATTTACATTGTAGATTCTCACTGAAGGCATCAAAACTATGAATGAACACATGTGGAGTTATGTACTTAACAAAAAAAGGTGAAATAACTGAAAACATGTTTTATATTCTAGTTTCTTCAAAATAGCCACCCTTTGCTCTGATTACTGCTTTGCACACTCTTGGCATTCTCTCGATGAGCTTCAAGAGGTAGTCACCTGAAATGGTTTTCCAACAGTCTTGAAGGAGTTCCCAGAGGTGTTTAGCACTTGTTGGCCCCTTTGCCTTCACTCTGCGGTCCAGCTCACCCCAAACCATCTGGATTGGGTTCAGGTCCGGTGACTGTGGAGGCCAGGTCATCTGCCGCAGCACTCCATCACTCTCCTTCTTGGTCAAATAGCCCTTACACAGCCTGGAGGTGTGTTTGGGGTCATTGTCCTGTTGAAAAATAAATGATCGTCCAACTAAACGCAAACCGGATGGGATGGCATGTCGCTGCAGGATGCTGTGGTAGCCATGCTGGTTCAGTGTGCCTTCAATTTTGAATAAATCCCCAACAGTGCCACCAGCAAAACACCCCCACACCATCACACCTCCTCCTCCATGCTTCACAGTGGGAACCAGGCACGTGGAATCCATCCGTTCACCTTTTCTGCGTCTCACAAAGACACGGCGGTTGGAACCAAAGATCTCAAATTTGGACTCATCAGACCAAAGCACAGATTTCCACTGGTCTAATGTCCATTCCTTGTGTTTCTTGGCCCAAACAAATCTCTTCTGCTTGTTGCCTCTCCTTAGCAGTGGTTTCCTAGCAGCTATTTGACCATGAAGGCCTGATTCGCACAGTCTCCTCTTAACAGTTGTTCTAGAGATGGGTCTGCTGCTAGAACTCTGTGTGGCATTCATCTGGTCTCTGATCTGAGCTGCTGTTAACTTGCGATTTCTGAGGCTGGTGACTCGGATGAACTTATCCTCAGAAGCAGAGGTGACTCTTGGTCTTCCTTTCCTGGGTCGGTCCTCATGTGTGCCAGTTTGGTTGTAGCGCTTGATGGTTTTTGCGACTCCACTTGGGGACACATTTAAAGTTTTTGCAATTTTCCGGACTGACTGACCTTCATTTCTTAAAGTAATGATGGCCACTCGTTTTTCTTTAGTTAGCTGATTGGTTCTTGCCATAATATGAATTTTAACAGTTGTCCAATAGGGCTGTCGGCTGTGTATTAACCTGACTTCTGCACAACACAACTGATGGTCCCAACCCCATTGATAAAGCAAGAAATTCCACTAATTAACCCTGATAAGGCACACCTGTGAAGTGGAAACCATTTCAGGTGACTACCTCTTGAAGCTCATCGAGAGAATGCCAAGAATGTGCAAAGCAGTAATCAGAGCAAAGGGTGGCTATTTTGAAGAAACTAGAATATAAAACATGTTTTCAGTTATTTCACCTTTTTTTGTTAAGTACATAACTCCACATGTGTTCATTCATAGTTTTGATGCCTTCAGTGAGAATCTACAATGTAAATAGTCATGAAAATAAAGAAAACGCATTGAATGAGAAGGTGTGTCCAAACTTTTGGCCTGTACTGTACCTATGGGTCCCCTGCTGCTATGATGGGCTACAAGCCCAGACACATTTGGAAAATTATTCTGTAAGGTCTCAGAGACAGACATTGTGGCATTTAGGCCTATTCTGCACAAACAGCCTAGAGAAAAAAGTAGAAAGAACTGAAGTTTTATTATAAGATAAAGCTCTGATTGAGGACAAGGAATATATATATATATAGGACCATGTCTTTACAGGGCAACCTTGCATACAACAGTGAGCTTCCAGCAAGAGGTGGTCTGCTTGGCCGAACAGATAGAGGCTGGAATATGCAAGATTGTCTGCTAGACTCCATAGAGGAGATGAGAGAAAAAAATACTACTGTCTTGGACAACACATCCCAACCCAGAGACATCCACCACACACTGCAGGTCATTATCTCTGCTTCTGTGAGGCACTGTTGGCCACAATAACCCCAGACTGTACTGTGCCTTTAAGTCAGTTTCATCAAAATAGTTTATGAAAGGTATGTTGCTGTACGACGTTTTCTGTGGCAATTATCATCAGTATCTTGCACATACTGTAGATTTCATGAGAATATAAAGCACATACATACACTATCAGTTCATAGGAGCACATTTCTTTAGATGTCATGTTTTCTATTTTAAAAAGAAAACCTTACATAAGCTTGGGCAATGCAAAAAAAACAACAACATGCAGTTGTGTGTAATAATGAGAATCAAGTAATCCTGCCTGTCTATTTATTGGGTATATCTTGCTTTTATTTCTACTGTTTACAATCATCACTCAAGCTAAACTAAACTAAAAACTTCTAAACTTCCGACGTTCATCAGCCTGTCAGTTTATTATATTTAGCTTTTTTTTTTTTTTACTGTTTAATTATTACATTGCCTTGTGTTTTGTTTTACTGTTTACTTATTATATTGCTCTGTGATTTTTACCGGTGTTGGCCTAATTATAATATTTGTTCTACATTTCAAAATATCAGCATTTTAAGTAAAGCTGTGGTATCTTGTAAACTGCTCAACACAACATATTTTTCAAATGCAGTATTATATCTAACTACAGTCTTCTAATCGCAGCCACGTTGGAGTAAAATGAAAAAGAGGAAGATGCTTCCCAATTATGTGGACGTGGCCCACGTGATTTCACAAGCACCCTTCTTAATTGACCAATGAGAGAGCTCGGGGGGCGGGCTCTTACAATGACAGCCAATGCCGTGTTACGTTTGTAATACGTTACTTAGCATTAGTCGCATCCGGGTGAGCACTTTAAGGTGAGTAGCTAATGCTGACTGGGTCAAAATAATGAATTAAGAAACGTTAATTGTTATATTTACTTGAACTTCAATGACCGCGAATGCGCCCTTAATACACAAATACACTAGCCACAAGAAAATGTTACAAATCCCCAGTGGCTTTCCGTCTCTAATATATAAAGGCCAGGCAGCTAGCTAGTTAGCATTAGCTTTAAGCTAACAAGTTGTCGATGATATCAATGTCCGGGTTTGCTTTGTCACCATTTTTGTCTTTTCGCCTTCCTATGTGTCGATTGTAGATTGATTTCTGATTATGTTTCTTTCGACAGGTCCGCTCAGGAGTTCATTTGAAGCTTGGATCTCGGTCTTCAGGATGTACGGATCCTTTCGGTTACTGTTGCAGGTGCTGTCGGCCCAGCTGCTCTGTGTGTGGGTGCTGGGCTCCGAGCTAACTTTTGAGCTGCCAGACAACGCCAAGCAGTGTTTCTACGAGGACATCATCATTGGCACCAAATGTACACTGGAGTTTCAGGTGCGTGTGTCTTCTTTCTGCCCAAAGCTCGGCTTGTTTTATTAATGGCCCCAATGGGAAGCTGTCATTCTCAAAGTGTTGAAGAACAGAGTCCAACCTGCTCTCTTACAGGCATCATCAGGCTTTAGTGATTAACAACCCAGGGCTAGGAACAGGTTAAATCATCAGTTACATGACTGATTAATACATGACCAACTTTCCAATATAAAAGCAACACTTTTTAAAAAGTATTTTACAAACAGAGGAGTTTTTGTCTGTTTTCCCCATTGTATTCACGTGTATGGATGCTCAATGCATGAAGTGTTGTTTACTCAAAAAGGTCGTTTTTTTCCCTGCATAGGCAAAATATCTATTCATATTATGAAGCATAATCTAAGTCAACATTTCTTTCACTTTTTAGTATGTTTTTACATATTTTGGTACAATATAAATCCTAGGATTTATATATTATTTATTATATATTTATACAAGTTTAAGTTTTTATTTATTTCTTGAACTGTTCAAGATAACCTGCAGTATTTATACAAGTGTTTTTACAGCACAGTTGTACAGTTTCCTCGGATATTTTGTTTGCTGTAACAAGCTGAAGTTTGCAAACAATAATTTCAAGGCAAATATTAAAACCAACTCAGTAACACAGATCAATGTACAATCTACGTTAGCCTTAGGGAGAGCAGTATTTGCCCTTAAGCTTTCATTAGATTCCTCTTTTTTGAATATATATGGTTGCCTCTTCCCTCAGGATGAACAGTTTCATTATTTCATTAACAAATTCATTATTAATTTTATTGTTTGTAGTTGTTTCATAAATTGTATTCTGTCTTTATGCCAGTCTTTCATGTCTAAGTATGACTTAAATCTCTCACAACTTGAGATAATATATAATAGTGCACATTTATTTTTAATCATAGTATTGTTGCGATCTAGTGAAATACCTCATTTGACTGATGTGACAATCAGAAAATGATTTTTGTCCATGTTGGCCGCTTCTCTTCGTTGTCTCTGTATAATCTGAGACAAATTGAATGTTGTCAAATGTTGTTCATTTAATGGTCATCCTGTCATGATGTTTTCCCAGGTGGTGACCGGTGGTCATTATGATGTGGACTGTCGTTTGGAGGACCCAGAAGGCACGACACTCTACAAGGAGATGAAGAAGCAATATGACAGCTTTACCTTCACAGCAGCCAAGAATGGCACCTACAAGTTCTGCTTCAGTAACGAGTTCTCCACCTTCACACACAAGACAGTGTACTTTGACTTCCAGGTCGGCGATGACCCTCCACTCTTCCCTAATGAGAACAGAGTCACTGCTCTCACTCAGGTAAGCTGTGTGTGTGAGGATGCACAGACTTAATCATACATGCTCAATGCTTTGTCTGACTCTGACGTAAGCTCAAACGTGTTTTATTTTATCTGTCTAAGAAACTACAGGCTCATTTCCGAGACAGTATGTGGTGCAACATGAGATGATACACTTTCCTCTCTCACTCTGCTGTGGGGTTAATTGCATCTGTTAGGGTGCTACAGCTAACACCTTTGTGGCTACTATAAGTACATGTTGCTGTGTGAATTCTGCAAATTCCCGGACAAGCTCCACCCAGTTATACCCTAAAAGAGGTTAAACCTGCTACAATGACTCGAACACCTGTCTGGGTGTGCTTGGCACTAGTTAGTGATCTTCTGTCATTCACAGTTATGTGGAGTCCATGTCTGCAAACAGTTTATTACATGGGTCCTCAACAGAAGAAACTGGCAGCTGCCAAATTAGTGTTTGATTTTTTTATTTTTTTTTCCCCAAAAAATTAAAATATGTGAAATAATGACAAGATTTAAAATATGACAACGTGCATCAACATAAGTCCAAAATATCATCAACAAAGCTAAATTGGCCTATTCATTAAAACACCCATTTACAGATTTACAGAACACAACACTGATGATAGGCTAACTGTTACCCCCCGGTAATCCTGTGAGCTAGCTAACCTATGTTAAATAAATTTGCCTTCCAAATGTATACTTAACATTAAAACATGATGTATTAATATATGAATCTGTTGATAATTGTTATTTGAACATCTTATCTTAGTATTATAGGCACCATAAAAAGGCATCTTTGTACATGGCACTTTATAACGTATGCCCAGTGTAATCTGCAACTCAGTATTATACAGTACATGTAGTAGGGGTCCCTGGTCCATCGCTCTGTGAGCTAAGGGGTCCTTGGCCAGAAAAACATGAATGACCCCTTATTGTTTATGTTACCTGAAGTTTTTGCATATTTAACAACCATTAACACAATCTGTAATGTTTTATTTTGCCCACACCCAACTGAACCATTGATGATATTTTTACAGGCTTTTGCAGTCACACCCAGTCGAGGTTTGATATTTTTTTCTGACAACAGGTGACACATTTCCGGGAAATAGGAGGGACAAGGAACTACAGTGCCCTCCAAAAGTATTGGAACAGTGAGGCCAATTCCTTTATTTTTGTTGTAGACTGAAAATATTTGGGTTTGACATCAAAAGATGAATATGTGACAAGAGATCAACATTTCAGCTTTTATTTCCAGGTATTTACATCTGGATCTGATACACAACTTAGAAGATAGCACCTTTTGTTTGAACCCACCCATTTTTCATGAGAGCAAAAGTATTGGAACGTGTGACTGACAGGTGTGTTTTGTTGCCCAGGTGTCTCCCAATTACATTGATTATTCAAACAATAAATAACACTGGATGTCTGAGCTCAGTTTCAGATTGGGTACGATAGGTTTTGCCTGTGCAGACTGCATTTAGAGGTGGAACCAACATGAAAACCAGAGAGCTGTCCATGGGTGAAAAAGAAGCAATTGTGAATCTGAGAGAAGATGGACAATCAATCAGAGCCATTGCACAAACATTGGCCATAGCCAGTATAACCATTTGGAATGTCCTGAAGAAGAAAGAAACCACTGGTGTACTAAGCAACAGACGTTGAACAGGTAGACCAAGGAAAACATCAGCAGATGATGACAGAAACATTGTGAGAGCTGTAAAGAAAGACCCTAAAACAACTGTTAGTGACATCAGCAACAACCTCCAGAGGGCAGGAGTGAAGGTATCACAATCTACTGTTGGCAGAAGACTTCATGAACAAAAGTACAGAGGCTACACCAGAAGATAAGATGCAAACCACTCATTAGCAAGAAGAATAGGAAGGCCAGGCTGGAATTTGCCAAAAGGTACAGAGATGAGCCTCAGAAATTCTGGGAAAAAGTTTTATGGACTGATGAGACAAAGATTAACTTTTTCCAAAGTGATGGAAAGGCGAAAGTTTGGAGAAAGAAAGGATCTGCTCATGATCCCAAACATACAAGCTCATCTGTGAAACACGGTGGAGGTAATGTCATGGCTTGGGCTTGCATGGCTTCTTCTGGGACGGGCTCTTTCATCTTCATTGATGATGTAACACATGATGGCAGCAGCAAAATAAACTCAGAAGTCTACAGAAACATTTTGTCTGCTAATTTAAAGAAAGATGCAACCAAACTGATTGGGAGATCCTTCATCATGCAGCAAGATAACGACCCAAAACACACTGCCAAAACAACAAAGGAGTTCATCAGGGGCAAGTAGTGGAAGGTTTTAGACTGGCCAAGTCAGTCTCCAGACTTAAACCCAATAGAGCATGCATTTTACCTGCTGAAGAGGAGACTGAAGGGAGTAACCCCCCAAAACAAACAACAACTGAAAGAGGCTGCGGTGAAAGCCTGGAAAAGCATCACAGAAGAAGAATGCAAAAGTTTGGTGATGTCAATGGGTCACAGGCTTGATGCAGTTATTGAAAGCAAAGGATTTGCAACTAAATATTAAGTCTCATTCACTTTAATCTATTTTAAGTTTATATGTTCCAAAACTTTTGCTCACCTAAAAATTTTGTGTTCCATTACAAATAATGCTATCTTCTAAGTTGTGTATCAGATCCAGATGTAAATACCTGGAAATAAAAGCTGAAATGTTGATCTCTTGTCTCATATTCATCTTTTGATGTCAAACCCAAATGTTTTCAGTCGACAACAAAAGTAAACTAATTGGACTCACTGTTCCAATACTTTCGGAGGGCACTGTATATTTTCCAGTAAACTTAATATTTCCTCAAGTTTTTCCTCTAGTTTGTGAATCAAAGGTAAAATGGTGCTCTTGTTGGTCAATTATTAATGTCCAGCCACAGTCTAAATATCTTATGTTGGTTTTGGCTTTCATGTTTTCAACCAATCTTCAGATGGAATCAGCCTGCGTTTCCATCCACGAAGCCCTGAAATCGGTCATCGACTACCAGACTCACTTCCGCCTCCGTGAGGCCCAGGGTCGCAGTCGGGCAGAGGACCTCAACACCCGTGTTGCGTTCTGGTCCATCGGAGAGGCCATTATCCTTCTGGTGGTCAGCATCAGTCAGGTGGTCCTGCTGAGGAGTTTCTTCTCTGACAAGAAGACCACTACAACACGCGTCGGATCATAACAGTCTCTGAGGCCCAGGATCTGATTCGTCACTTTCTTTAGCCGTACCTGGGCTCGTGTGCATAGAGTAGGTTGGAATATCAGTGCTGAGCTGACATTGGATCATATCAAACTGCCAGGTCAAACAATCTGACACGTCATCTTTATTCAGCATTGGTATTCATACAAACTTCATGCAAATGAGTCTTGAGCGAAAAGGTTGTATGTGTTCAAAATGTTTTAGAGGGGTAAAAGAGAAAACCTGTAAAAAGGCTTTCTTGTGTTGCTTGTAACTATCTGTACTGGAGGCAGTGTAAGCAGCTGATCATGTAGTTACAGCAAACCTTAAATACTTAAAAAATTTGAAATTATTTCTAAATGTATTCTTATTTTATTTGTGTCCTTTTCTACCCCGTCATCTTCTACCCTGATCTCTTCCATTTTTTCAGCCCAAACTGTGCACTGAAATAACAAAGAGTGGTTGCAGTGCATTGAGTCTCTAAAACCACGCCGACAATGCAAAGAACGTTTCCCCCCCGAAGGTTGTATTTGGTTTTGAAAAATCTGTTTTTTTTTTCTTTGCTATTAAACCTCACTGTGTTAGTGAGAAAGAGTATATATTGTGTTGTGCTTTTATCAGCTTTGTCATTTTAGATGAGTTATAAGAAGAGAGTGTGCTGTACAGAGAGAACGCCATCATTTAATCTAATATTAGCTAAAACAGTTCAGATTTGGGTTGAAGGATTGAATTTAGAGATGCAAGTGGTCTCCGTTGAGTGACTGCAGACTCAATTCCTTTGAAAAGTTTAAGTCAGTTTCTGCATTTTGGGTTCCATTTGCTCGATTAAACACCGAGGTAAAGTTGGTCTTCAGGTTGACCACACTTCAGTGAATTGCCTCCTAAAAATGTCAAAATAATCTGTGTGACTCAGTGTGGGAGGCAAAAAAAGAAATGACTGATATCATCCTTGTGTTTGAAAATGACACATTGTATGTGTTAGAGGAGCACTTCACCCACAAAATGACCATTTGTAAATCTATTCGTCATGCTGTGTCACCTTGAATTCATGAAGAAACTTTATTTTTCTGGCATGCCTCCATGGAAAGTGGTGAACGTATTGATTTATTGATTGATCAGGGGCCACGTTTAGCAACAAAACCATATCAGAACATCAGTGTACAAACTCTCACACAACTCATGCAGTATAATTCAAGTCTCATTTATCCAGTCGTATGCTCAGTGCTTCCCACAGACATGCATTTTCACTAAAAAACCTTAGTCCTGGAGGCTAGATGGAAGAGAACATAGATAAGTTTCCCTTTCAGTTCAGTCTTTATAGTAAGGTTTTAGCAAAAACACATGAGTTAGGCAAGTACTGTGCATATGACTGGATAAATGAGACTTGGATTACACTGTGCAAGTTGTGGAAGAGTTTGTAAACTGATGTTTTCATATAGTTTTGTTGTTACACATGGTCCCCACTCAATCAATAAGTCAAAATGTTTGCTGCTTTTGGTGGAGCCAAGTGAGAAGGTAACACGGCATGACTACTAGATTGTGAAAAGGTCATTTTATAGTTGAAGCATTCCTTTAAGTGGCCATGCCAGATTTTTTAAATTCAAAAACTTTGTCTTTCACTGGTTCCCTTGCAATGTTTTGTCTAGTACTGCCTTTACTGTTAAAAATGTAACATGTTATTTTTTGTGGGCTGCTATGATCCTCTTGGTTTTATGCAGCACTGTTGTAAAATTTATGTTGTTTTGCAAAATATTGCTTGAATATAAGATTGAGTTGTGGTTGTAATTTGAAATTTTATTCCCTTGCAGACTATTCAGTTAATTTTCTAAATTAAGAGGAAGGAGGATTTGGACATCTTAAATCTGTTAATATGACTGGTTCTGAATATTCTTGCCTGTAAGAAGCACTACATGCTGGCTTAGTTCAGTCTGGCAGAGTCGCTAAAATATTTTTTTATTTTATTCAGTTATTAGTTCTGGTCTGGCTTTGCTTCCTTTGTGATGCTTTCCCCCTTTCATCATGTTTTCATTGTCAGTTTTGGTGAGTGGTGCAGTGTTGGCATTTCACTTTTGGGTTTGTGCACTTACAGGTCATTTTTGGACACACATTTAGCTCTCAAGCATTCTGGGAACTTTTTAAGTTATTGGGATGGCTGAATAAACTTTCTGTTAAAATGTCGGGGTGTGCTTTTATTTAATCAGCATTATTAAACACTTTTTTCAGTTTTCAGTGATAGATTTGCGGACACACTGTGGCCATGCTTCTTTTATCCTGTAGGGAGTGATATAACCAAGGCCATCAAGGTCAGCTTTCACAGTTATAATATTTAAAGATATTTTATAATCTGCAAGATATAAAGGAAGTATTTTTAGATTCGTTTTGACGTTGGTTTCCCTTTCCATAGTAATTACTTCTTTATAAAGTCTCAGGTATTAAAATAGCAGCGATTCCCTTTTGTTGTTCTTGATTGACTACGTCACCGCTTTCCAGCTCTGTGATTGGCTGTTCACACGTCAATCACCTGCGCTGGTGAAGAAAAAAGACTGCGTTGGGTTTGCGATTTGACAGAAACTGAGTCGTGATCATCCGGTGGAGCCGTGGGTGGATAGCCTTCCCTATTTACCTTCCCCGTCGCCGAGATTACTGTCGTTGCAGTTTGCTGGGTGGCTTAATGGACGACTTTTATTCGCCGTTTTGGGGGTAACATTTCTGGCTTGTATCTCGACGTGTGTGTGTGGGAGTGTGTGTGAGAGGAAATCGGCTCGGACGTTGGGGATATCCCCTGATTGTTTAGCCGAGCGAGAGACCGAGCGTCGTTTTCCACAGGCTAAGCTAACAGCAGCGCGGCGTAACGGGTGGGGGTGGATTTCTACATCTCGGCCCTCGGGAAGCTGAATATAAATAACGTCTCAGGAGTATGTTGTGGGACAATGACAAGCGCAAGAGGCAGAACTAATGGAGACGAGCTTGTCGGAGAGGAGGAACGTCAGTGGATGAGTGTCGGTTGAACGGTCGATAAAGAGGGGTAAAGTAGTTGAGCTAGGCGAAGCTAGTCGGTCGGCTACATTGATCGAGGAAGTTGACTAGCCACCTTGCTAACTCGGCGACAAATGTATTACTGGACCAAGGGTCGTCTCAAGTGTTATTCATCGATTTAAAGATTCACACAAGAGGCCAGTGATGCTAGTTTTTAAAGCTAAAGTTTAGAAAACACACATTCTTATTGGCTTTTTAACCAAACACGCTAGCTAACGTCAGTTGGTTACTGTTAGCCAGTTAGTCGGAGGTTGTTGTAAACAAAGGGTCCCGAGCTCCACCTGTCCACAGCAACATTACACCTCGGGTTGACGTTGGCTGGTTGTCTCACGGACATCGTTGCCTTTTTATTTAGCAGTGACACCCACTCTCAGAAATGGATTTAAAGACAGCAGTGTTTAACGCAGCACGGGACGGTAAGCTCCGGCTGCTTCAGAAACTGTTGGAGAACAAAGATGGACACGAGGTGACCAAGCTGATGGGTGAGAAGACAAACGGGGCCACCCCGCTGTTGATGGCCTCCAGGTACGGCCACCTGGATCTGGTGGAGTACCTGCTGGAGTGCTGCAGCGCTCCCGTGGAGGTCGGTGGGTCGGTGAATTTTGACGGGGAGACCATCGAGGGAGCGCCCCCCCTGTGGGCAGCCTCTGCGGCGGGTCACCTGAAGGTGGTCCAGTCCCTGCTGGGCCACGGAGCGTCTGTGAACAGCACCACCCTGACCAACTCGACACCGCTGAGGGCAGCCTGCTTTGACGGCCACCTGGACATTGTGAAATACCTGGTGGAGCACAAAGCTGACCTGGAGGTGGCCAACAGACACGGTCACACGTGTCTCATGATTTCCTGCTACAAAGGACACAAGGAGATAGCACAGTACCTGCTGGAGAGAGGCGCAGACGTCAACAGAAAAAGTGTGAAAGGTGAGTGGGTAGCACACTCACAGCTATCAGCAGTAAGTGACACACTTTATTGACATGGTCTCTGACCCTGAGAAACCTGATTGATTCAACACTGTGTATTTTAGAGCTCAATATGGTTTGAATGTCCTATTCTGCAGTAGTGTTGCCAGACAAATGACAGATCAGTAGATAATAAAGGTATGTCAGAAATGCCCACAGGTAAAATACCCTCCCAACATCACAGGTGACTACACACACTGAGCTAAAGACTTTACCGTAACCTGCAGGAGTAGTAATATTGGATAATACCAGAAGCATTTGCATGTCTCCTTGTGAAATGACTCAACACAATAACATGAACTTCTGGTTTCACAATGGAAAGTTGTGGTGATGTCAACGTCACTTTGGACCGATCCTGTGGGTGTGTCATGAGCTCTCCTTTTATCATATTTCATGAATACATAAAAAACATTGTCCATTCATATTTTAGGGTATTGTTTTATGGGAGATTGCAGACCAAAGGGTTGCTTGAAGAGAAAATCATGAAAGTGATATCCTGCTTTAAATAATTTTGTGGATCATCAAACACCACTGTAGACGTGTAAGAGGCCTGGCAAATGTTCAATGTATTGCTCCTTCCTTCTGGAGCACAGCTGCGGTGGTTAGTCTGAATTCAGGTTTGTATCAGTGGATTTAAAAAATGACCAGTTTTCATGATTGCAAAAAAATATCAGTCAGTCCTTAGAAATATCTCAAACTACAGACGACTTCACCTCTGTATGGTGTTTGTGTTAATCCTTACGCAGGACTCTGTCAAACCTGCACTAGTATTGGTTTGCACACACCTATGCTTCATAGGTCAGAACCGTGCAGTTATAGCTTGTCCTCGGCTTGCTCAATGAACCCCCCTTTAGCTCATTCATGGTTGACTCTAAATTAATCAACTCTAGCCAAAACACCCATGTCAAGACACTTCGTTCTCCTGACCAGTAGAATAGCAAAACGCAGGTGCTTTATTGTGCACAAACCAGTGCTTGTGTTTGCAAGTGAGCTTGCCACTATATCATGTGTGGTGATTGACATGGAAAATAGTTCCTAGCCCAGACTATTGCCTTTCCCACAACAGCTGAACCAACAGGAAGCAGTATATGTGTAATATTAGATATGAAGTGGCAAATTTCCAAAAACAATGGACCTTGTGTTGATGGAGGAAGGCAAGCAAGCGAGTTAGAAAAAAATGGTCAGGACACTACAATCACAGCTGATTTGAGCTGCTGAAAAAGCTGCGATCAGCTTGCTTCCTCCTCAGACAAACCAACACTTAGCCTAGTTTATTAAACTCCCTCAGTACAACACCTGTTATTGAGGTGCCCTCCTGTCTTCGGCTTACGGTAGTCTAAATTCACTCTGGAAGCGCATGAGTATTCAGACTAATACTTAAGGCTAGGCACAAAGGCTTTGGAGAGGATTTCCTAAGTTTCTGGATTAACTTGTTTTGGTAGTGGAAGTGAATTTATCATCCAGACAAGCATAGCTCAACATATTTCATTCACCAGGTAAAACTGTTATCATATTCCCCCACAAAAGGAGTCAACTTCGGTGGCAGTAGGTTTTAAAGAAGGTCCAAAAGAGGCACTGTGACAATTTTATGTCAACATGATGATTAAGTTGTATAATATTCCTTTGTAGCAAACGTTATTTGATATCCCAAAAAATATTAAAACAAAATCACTTCTCTGTTTTGAAAGCATTCAGCCATCCAAAACCATAACAGCAGTGTTAAACAATTTGCTGCAGTATTAACCCAGATTGCCTTATTCATTTCTAACTGGCTGCGCTGCTGTGCCCAAGTTTTCTTTGTCATGGCGAGGGTAAGAGTAAAAAAAAAAGAATTGGATCAGTGTAGTTTTGGCACAAACTGCGGAGTATAAATAATGGTTAATCCCTGGCTAACCCTGTTTGGTCTGGTCTGCTTGAATATGGATTAGCCGTAGTGTACTGAGAGCGATGAGGCTAGATGCAAGTGAAAGCACAACAACATTACACAGAAGTGTTGAAATGATAGTCTGGTGAGGATAGACATGAAGTGTCCTGAGGTGTGTTGGACTCATTTACCTAAACATTTACTTATATGTTTTGTTGTTCTTTGTCATTCAGTGTTAACCAGGACACTGAGTACTCAAGGCTAACTGTAGGAACAGCCATCTTAGGAAACCGTATTTGTTTACATTGTTTTTGTGTGATGATTGACCCTGATTTCCAGGGCTGCGTTACCTATTTCAAAGAAAAGTTTGCAGGACAAGGACAGGCAAGACATGTCAAGGCTTAGTAGTGTTCTACCTCCAGACGTTTGCATCCATATAACAGCTACTTGTCATCAAACCATATACTTAGGTGTCACTCAAGGATTTGTCTAGATGCATAAGGTCTTTCTGCTGTCTGAAATGATGCCGGTCAGCAACACATGTACACTGTCGCTGTATTTAAAATTACCCAGTTTCAGTTTTAATGGGATACCTGGCCAATTTTCAACCAGCTTTATATCAAAATAATGTGGGTAGCATGTGCAAATGAACTGTGGTAAACCCCCCTCCATCTTAGCAGCGCCTAGATCTCCCTGTTCATCTCCCAGCTCAAATTTAGCATCATCTGGTGGATTTTCAGCGGCTCTAGGGCTGTTGCTCAAACTACAGCTTGTACTTAGGCATTTTTGTATGCCCGCCACCACAGACACAAAGAGCATAGAAGCTGAGCGAGACAGAGAGCCCCCTGTCTGTCTCTATCAAACTCAAACCAAACTCAGATTAAATGGTAAAACTAGGCAGTGCTGATCAAATATAAACATGTATATATTAGATTCTGTTACTCTTTCGTCTATTTTTTGTTAAAAATGCCTTCAGAAACATATTGTAGTGCACTGTTTGGCTGTAATGTGACAATGTGTAAACAAGAAGCGAGGCTATACTGTTTCCTATATTGTAAAAGCCAAGGCTGACAAACAGGTCAATGGTGAAACTAGGCAGTGCTGATCAAACATGAACTAGGTTTACATTTCTATGTTGCCTATTCCTCATATAAAATGTTTTTTCAGAGACATTTTACCTTACTATCGAACTGTAATTTGAGATTGTTTGTCACCAGCCAGTCACCATATTGTTTCTGTGTCAGAACTGACAAGCTCACGTTATGTCACCCACCAGCTGGAGCGTTTATTGTTTCCTCAGACTTTCCACTCGGCTCGTATGCTGCATCAGCACTGATTGCAAGTACAGAAGCTGACATTGTCATTTTGCACATTCTCATTCAGGAAGTATCAAAACATTAATACATGTGTTGTGGTTAAAATGTGCTCCATTATGTGTTGTTGGCTGTTAAGAACATCACAGTGTCTTAAATCTCACCAGGTTTTGCTTATGATTTTAGACACCCACCATGTGAAGGCAAACAAACAACTTAAGACCATTTAAAAATGTTGCACAGTGCCAGGACTGGGCATATTATTTAACCGAGCATTTTCACACTACACCTGCACAGGTTTGCAGCAGCTGAGCTGACATCCCACTGGGAAGCTTTTATTTAACACTATACTAAAACTAGAGGCAGCACGGCCTGCTTTTTTCTGTCTGAATGAGTGATGCTGAGAATCATATGTACACACTGCAAGCATGGCAGGTTTCACATAAATGGGTAAACCATGTGTGGAAGTGAGCATGTCACAAGCATGACTCGATGGCAGCCTCCACATTAATCCTGATATCAACTGATCTGTGGCCATTTTGAATATATTCTAAGAGAAAGGACAGCGTGCAGGATAAACAGCTGTACTTCTGGCTTTGCTGTAACTCTCTAGGTCTCTGTGTAGAAACAGTAAGACTTGGTACATGTATTTTTGTTTGCAGTTTGCAAACCAACCAGTTTCCCTAAAAACCATTTCTGCTTTATCCACAATGCAGCGGCTCAGCTGGGGGTTCCCACTGGTTGTATAGCGTCAGTATAGGCCACAATTACCTCTTTCTCTTGAAGCATGAATATATGTTCTTCAATTCAATTTCTGTGAAGACCATCCAGCATTACGTGTTTATGCTGGCTACTTCTGTGACAGAAAAGTCACCATAAATGTTTAATTGTTCACAGGCAACACAGCACTTCATGACTGTGCAGAGTCGGGCAGCCTGGAGATCATGCGGATGTTGCTGCAGTTCGGAGCATCCATGGAGCAGGACGGCTACGGCATGACGCCCCTGCTCTCCGCCAGTGTCACAGGCCACACTAACATTGTAGACGACCTGACGACGCACCCACAGGTCAGGGTTTCTGTCAGTTAAAATAGAGAGTTTGTCTGCATATATGTATGTAAGGCTCTAGCATTGATATTTTGAATATAGTCGTCTTGGAGAAATTTTTAAAAAATATAATGGGAAAAATATCTTCCTTCTTCTGCAGACAAGTCACAAAGAGCGCATTGATGCCCTGGAGCTCTTGGGAGCCACGTTTGTTGACAAGAAGAGAGATCTGCTCGGAGCTTTAAAATACTGGAAGAGAGCCATGGACCTCAGGTACATGGACAGTAACAACATTGTCCATAAACCAGAACCCAAGCAGCTGATCATGGCATACGACTACGCCAGGGAGGTGAGTGTCAGTTGGAGTCTGTCTTTCCACCCAGCACCATCCCACAGTGATCCTGCATTGTATTTAATGCTCTTGAAATATGTTTTATTATTGCTGATGTGGTCATAAGTTGGTAAAGGCACGCAGAGTTTAGCAGGGTGACTACTTATAAATTCCAAAACCTAGAAAGTCACACTCTAGTCTTTTTGTATGAGAAACAAAGGCTGCAAATTTTGGCATTTACTATAAAGAAATGGAACAAAGAACCAGATATTTAAGACCATGCACAAAGGAAACAGAAAACAGATAAATATATATACAGTATAATACACTGTGAACCTGCTGCAGTAGTCCACTGTCAGGTCTAAGTTAATTTTGCTTCTGAAAACCATGATTTCATCATCACAGGGAAACCATAAACTGCCTCTTGTCTTGACCTTGTAATCCTCCTCCTAGGTAACAAACGGAGAGGAGCTGGACGGGCTGATATCTGACCCGGATGAGATGCGCATGCAGGCACTGCTCATCCGTGAAAGAATCCTCGGCCCACAACATCCAGACACTTCTTACTACATCCGTTACCGTGGTGCCGTCTATGCTGACTCTGGGAACTTTGAGCGCTGCATCAACCTGTGGAAGTATGCGTTGGACATGCAACAGACCAACCTGGACCCCCTCAGCCCCATGACGGCCTCCAGCCTGCTGTCGTTCGCCGAGCTCTTCTCCTTCATGCTGCAGGACAGAGCCAAAGGGCTCCTGGGGACATCGGTGTCATTTGAGGACTTGATGGGGATCCTTTCCAAGAGCGTGTTGGAGATTGAGCGGGCGGTTAAACAAAATGGACCGATGCCTCCTGACCCTGCCCAGCTCAGCAAGGCCCTGTCAATCATCCTGCATCTCATTTGTCTTTTAGAGAAGGTGCCCTGTACTGCAGAACAGGACCACTTCAAGAAGGAAACCATCTACAAGTGAGTTCATGTGTAAATTACTTATGTTGCCAACAATTTGTCTTCAGTGTGGAAACTTGTCTCAGTAATTTTGCAGACAGGGGTCATTATGTGTGTCTGCAATGCAAAATAGGGCAGTTTTGAGTGTAATGCATATTTTTGTGGCACTGATTTTCTTTAACCTCATTTCTAAAAATGTCTTTTTCATGCCCTGCCTTGTATTTGCTTTGGTAGTGTGAACTTGCACCAGTCAGAGCAGCTTTCATATTCTCCTTTTTCAGCAAATAAGAGTGTCAGTTGAAGTAGAGGTGGGCGATGTATCTTTTATAATCTATGTATCACAGCTTGTTCCAAGTGGGATGTATAAAATGACTATATCGCAAATATTGAGTGCACATTGTCACATCAGTTTTTTAGCCACCGGCTTAGGCGTTTTGCTCTTTTCTTTGGTTCTCTCCCTCTCAGACACAATAATGGGAAAAAAAGAGCTGCAAGTGTGTGTTTTTATATCTGCAGGGTGCCACACAGCAACCATTTAGTCGCATTTTGCAATCATGGAGCACCAGTGCGACTTGCAAATATTAATATAAGCTAATTGTGAGCTAACTTACATCTAACTGTAGCTGAGGAAGGGAAGCTTCAAGTTCACAGCAAAAACATCAACACTTCCTGCCTGAGACGAGCTGGGTGCTACAGAATAAAAGCACCAGCGGTTTTGCTCAGATTGATTTGATGATAACAAATCTTTTATTCTAACGGTGCTTCATTTACCTTTTATTATAACAGTACTTTATTTAACGTTATTTTGACTGTAGTTTATTCAGTAGATTTGTATTTCAGTAGTCTACAATAGGAGGAGATTACAAAATATTGAAATAGATATAGTTTATCACGATATTATTCATAGGCCACATCGCCAGACCTTTTGTAAATTTGTGTCAATAGTTCAATCAAACCTGAAGTCCTCATTGTCAGGTGGGATGTAGTCCAGTCCTTCCTCAGTGCTGTCACCATGACAATTGTAGTTGATTGTCGCCTTGTTGCTCTTCTTTGACTGAAAACTTGACATCTTTCCTCATCTCTCCAGGTTCCTGAAGCTCCAGCCGTGTGGTAAGAACGGCTACAGTCCACTACACCTGGCAGTCGACCGAAACACCACCTGTGTGGGTCGGTATCCCGTCTGCAAGTTCCCCTCCCTCACAGTCGCCTCTATCCTTCTTGAGTGTGGGGCAGATGTGAACAGTCGCGATGAAGATGACAACAGGTCTGTTTTTGTTTTTATTTATTTGTTTAAGCTCTCATAATTGTTCTTTCTAGGGATGTCAACAGTTAACGGATAATTGGTTTACCACTGAGAATATTTTTGATTGGTTACACATGTCAGCCTCTAGCTTGATCTTGCTACTCTTTAGTTTACTGCACTGCACACAACCCTGGTCTGGTGGGAGCTAGCTGTGCTTCTTATTCAGCGATTACTGCTACTATTAGCATCCGGACCCAACAGTGTTGCTGGGGAAACATTGTGCCCACCCTCCACTCTCCCCCTAGATTGCCCCAGTAAGTAAGCAGCTCAATTTTGAGCCACAAACCACTTTTAACATTGTGAACTAGATCTAAATTATCATTGTTGGCTCTGTTAGCACTGTAGTGGTGTTATCATGGCTAGTGGTGCTAATTCGGGGAGTAACAGTACACAAAAATCTCGGTTCGCTACGTACCTCGGTACACAAGTCATGGTTCGTTTTTTGTTTTTTTTTTTCGGTACAGTAATGAAAAAAATAGACAACTATTAAATATCTTTTACTTATTGGTAACCTTATTAAAACATACCACCACAGCAGTTAACTCTTTTTACACAATTTTTGAATGAAACAAATATATATATAATCCTGCTTTTTCACGTTGTTTGAATGAAAATAGAAATATAAAAGTGAAAAATAAAATCCTGCTGTTTTTTTAACACACTGTTTGAATGAAAAATATAAATATACATTTCTGCTTTAACAGTTTTACTCAATTAAAATAAAAAGTATAGTGCAGCTGGTCAGCTTTAAAGCCTGCTCAGATTCAGTTTTACTAGGAACTTACTTAGCTTTCCCACTTTGTTAAAGTGCAGTAAACAAAACATGCTTATATCTAAAGTGCAGCTTAAACAATTTTACTCAACTCCAATGGCGTTGGTTATTTCTTTAGCGCGATGGTCAGGGAAACGCTCTTTCTTTTTAAATGACGACGATATCGTAGTCTGCACCAGATTGCTTTTTCTAGGCGTGCCGGTTAACGTTCAAACTCGGGTGGTGTCGTTTTAGATGCGTTAGCATGTTAGACGTGTTTCCAAGTACATACCCGACCGTTGTTCTGCAGTGTCGGCACACTGCTTTTGTCTTGTCAACTTGTTTATTTCCATCTTCGTATTTTACCCTGAAACCAAAGTGTTCCCGAATGGAGGACTTAAGGTTTGCGGGTGGGTCTTCAGGTTCGTCAGGCTCACTTGCCATGGGGTCCATGTCATTGGTTCGACATCCCATTAGTCTGACTGTCCGCGGTGCTGAACGGCTCGCGGCGGGCGTATGGTGCGCCGCGACCGGCTTGAGGCAGAGCAGGCTCACGGCTTATGTGTTTGTCACTTTCTTTTTCATTTTAACCCACACCATGCACAAAGTGAAAGCGGAGATTTACGGGACTTGGTGCGTCACTCAATTATGTCCGTCGGGGAACTAGATATTTTAGATGGTTCGGCTCGCAAAAACGGAATTAAAATAAAATAATATCCTGCGCCCAATAATTCGGTACAGGGTCGTGCCGAACTGAAAGTCGCGTACCGAACGGTTCGACACAAATACATGTACCATTACAGCCCTAGTGCTAATGCATGTCAGTTAACAATGCTAAAGGGGTTTTGCGGCTCAGAATGAAGCCTCTTACTTACAGGAGCTAGCTGGGGGCAGCCCACAAGGTGGCCACCATGTTTTTGCAGCAGTGTTGCTAGCTAGCTCTCACCTGACATTGGGTGAGTTTGTATTTCCTTGGATGGATAAGGAATGACCCACCCTAATTTCTGCAAGTTAACACAGTCAGCTGGCTTTCTGACAGCAGAGCAAACAGAAAATAAAGTAAATGTCAAGACTTTTGCATCACAAAATATTTAAATTTCACCACCTATAAATGTATAGAGCTTTGAAATACAGTGCTAAAGCTCACTGAGGTAATGGAGTGCCAGACTACAAGGAAACGCCTCTATTTCACACCATTTTGTGATGTTTTGTTGAAAAATTACCTGTTAAGGGGTGTCTGGCTATCAATGTCAAATTTACTGAAACTGACATTCCTAGCTCTGTCACTGTCATCAGGGGTTTTAATTTTTTACCAATATTTCTGTCAATAAAAAAACAACATTGACAGAAATATTGTAGATATTGTAGAAAGGGTTAGAAAGAACATTGTATTTCTTTTGTTTGTAAAGAGAATAGTAGATAAAATTCCTAAAAAGCTCCTAAATTGCATCATTATGACAGCCACCAGTTAAACAAATAGCATGAACATGTCCAATGATAACAACATGTTTTGTAGTATAATCAAATTGAGGATCTATTATCTTTTCCAACCCACCAGCCCCCTCCACATAGCCGCATCCAATGGCCACCCTGACATCATGAACCTACTGATATCATGCGGAACTCACTTTGACAGCACCAACGCCTTCCAACAAACGGCCTGTGACCTCCTGGACGAGAAGGAGCTGTCCAGGAATGTAATCCAGCCCATTAACCACACCACGCTGCAGTGCCTGGCCGCCAGGGCCATCGTCAAGCACAGCCTCGATTACCGGGGAAACATCCCTGAGAAACTAGAGGCCTTTGTGTTGCTCCACAGATAATGATCGTGGAGGAGGGGAATGGATGGACGATAAGGGGAGTAGGTGTGATCACATCGAGTGGAGTGGACAGACTGAGGAGCGTCATAGTTCAAGGCCTGACCTACGAGGTGTTTGAGGAGTGGAAGGACACAGTGTTGTGGGTTAGGTTTGCAAATTCAAACTAGAATATCAGAGGAGAATATGAACTTGAAGATTAGTGTGATCAAAAATGTCTTCATTCAACCAGGATAAACTGAAAAATGATCTGAGGTGAATGGAGGAGGGAGTTTTCTTCCTCTGTTTGCTCTTTGATGGAGCCACAGCTCTGTGGTTCCATCTGTGGGGATGTATTACGAGTGGATTGCAACATGGACAAACACAGTTGTATCTCTGGATGAACTGAGCACGGGGTTTACATATTTTTTGCTTTAGAAAAATTTGATTTTTTTTTTTTTTTTTTGCATATTCCACTATGCTATTTATTGAATGAAACTTGAGAGATTTTTCTCCATGCTGGCTCCAACCCAGCCTCAACTTTGCCTGCGTCTCTCTTCTAAAAATAAGGATTGAGGCATTTCTACATATGCTGGGACTTCAGGTTATTTTATTTTTTTGTTTGTCCCATCACTGTTGCCAACAGTCATGGACCCTTCCTCAGTTATTATTAGGTTCCTCTTTTTTTGTACTTTTACAAAACATTTAGTTATTGTCATGCAACTCTGGATATCTGCCAAGTAGTGTGGATTCTAGACTCATTTGTCGTTCCCTCTTTAGTGTATAACAAAGCTTTACGAGAAGGGTTTAATGTCTGCGAACACCATAAGTGCTTTATTCTTCCTATGCACAGGCTAGGCTGTTGGAAAGAGAGACTGTTGTATTCTGTGCCGGCACTTGTCTGTGCAATATCTCATGAGTTTTTGTGTTTACCTCATTGCTGCCGTTTCCTTCAGCGTCTCCTTCCTTCACTCAGAGAAGGGAGGGGACGCAAAACCATTGTACTGATTGTTGTAAGAAGTGTGAATGAATTTGAGTGACTGTGTATGTTTGTCTGTGTGTGAGTACCACACAGTGTGTTTCATGTATGCAGAGTGTTTTTTTTTTGTTTTTGTTTTTTTGAGCTTACACAAATTATTGAGGACAAGAGTTTGAAGTGGCGCTCATCGAGATTCCATAATGCACATGACTGCCACTAAAACCCACAGCGGCCAAACTCAGTGTCTACAACCGCTGGAGTGTGCAGGCTTGTACACAGAAGTGACCTCTTAACGTTTGTACATGGCCGACCTTTAAAATGCCATCGTTCTTTAAATAATCATGATCAAAAAGGAAAAAAAAATCTAGGTAGGTTACCAACATTGGCCCACTGTGCATGTGCAGCAGCATATCAACCAACCAGTCACTGCAGAAAACCTTTCATGAGAACTCCTAGACTCCAAACCAGACTACAGCTAGGATAGTTCTGCTTGTTTTGTACAACCGTCGTCCAATTGTATGAGAGCTGAAGACACAGATGAGTGGGAGGACGCCTTGACGTACAGAATAGTAAAGCTTTGTGAATTATCTTGTTTGCACATTAGCTTCTAGATGTGTGGGTTGAAAAAAGGGCTTTTCATAATTCATAGGATTTCATATTGCAGTCTATTTAACCTGACAGTTCAAAACCAGACATAGAAAATGTATGAGGACTCCCAGGGCAACTTGATTTGAATCTGCACTTTACTACAGCGGAGTTTAAGATTTGATATGGCATTAATCAAGTTCATGTCTTAATAACCAGTTTGACAATAAACCCATGTTGCACTTGTCTCCTTGTCCGAATGTCTTTTATTTCCTTATTCTGTCTGTTTGTGGGGCTTTTACTAGAGTTTCAGAGAGTCCTCTGAACGTCATGCAGTTTCAGGGTGTTTTTTGCTCCTGTCACATTTCTTTCACTGCAATATATCGCTCCTGCACCTCTATGGAAACAGCACAATCATGACCAGAAGTAGGGGGGACTCAGAAAGGTCTTTTGTGCAGGATTACACAGTTACAATCCCATAAATCATCAAAAAAACATGTTGAATTTCTTTATTTTACAATAGTTGGAGAAATAGAATCTTTACAACATTTTGTGTGTGTGAATCTAAAGGTGTCTTCACATTTAGTTCTCTTTAAACAAACTAAACTCACCAAGTGCACCAAAAAGTGGACCAACAGAAAAGGGACTCAGTTCTTTTTGTGTTCACCTTGTCAGTTCATTTGAAAGAGAACTCGGTTCTCTTTCTGGTCAACTTCAGCTCTGATGGGGCCTCAGTCCTCTTTCTGTTCACACTATAGCCTGTATATAATATATATTGACAGTTTTGTATTTAATTTGGAGTGGCACTGCAGTGCAGGTATAAAGCCTCTTGCTTTCAAACTTAAAACTGGAGGAAAACCTTAGCGTTTCTTTGCTGTAGACTGATGTATTCTACATTCCACATCTGGAGACGTGCAGTATCTTCCATGGACCAAACTGCTCCTCAACCTGTGTCCTTGCAAGCGACACAGGCCTACGTGGTTCGGTCTGTCTTTTTCAGGCATCCCAGTGCAATAGCATGTGATGTAGAGAGCTAAATACAATGGCAAAGACCAAAGCAAACCTGGAGTGCTTTGTGTTCACAAGGCACAGGTAAAGTGAACCACACCACAGACTTGAGGTGGTCTGAGTTCGGTTCGCTTCAGAGGGGTCTGAGTTCTCTTGGAGTGTTCACATATGTGCAAAAGAATGCTGAGTCACCACTCTGAGTCAGTTTAGATGGCTGAAAAGGACCAAGTGTGAAAACACCCCTAATGAACACAAATCAGGGCAGCATGGCTTTACCTGGCATGGCCAAGAGTGACAATGGAAAAAGCTGAGTTGTGGTTTCAGTTGAGTCATTCATGTCCTCCCTGTTGCACTGAGGAGTGCAGAATTTAATGTTTTTGTACAGGATCTGGCCAGTGCATTTTTGGTCAAATTTTAAATGAGACAGGTAGAATAAAGCGATTTTGATGTAAAATAATTATTTTAAGTTTAGATTTGGTTGTTTTTCCTGACAAGTGTATAAACTGTTGAAAATGTTGTCAATAATTTTATGTTTTTACAGTTTCGGCCTATAAAAAGTGGTGTAATTTGGGCAGTTTATTTAAAGAAATCTTTCCCATGTATCTTTCCCATCAGGAAAATTGCATCTCATAAAAAAGTCTGCTTTTAAATCCTGACTGAAATATATATAAAACCACTGAAAGACATAACTTTATGTGTTACAAACTTATCTCACAGCTTAAGGCAAAAAGCAGCTATTACCACAAGTTACTAGTTGGTATTTCTGCTTCTGTGCCTGTTGACTATTTCAATCTGATGGCTTTAACTGGATTTCCAGACTGTTCTCGTCCATTCTCCTGCTGCTCTTACTGCAGAGTCACTGAGCGGTGGACTCAGTCCAGACACTTGAGCTGGGAGCGGGAACACAGAGGACCCCTCTGGACTGGAATGTGTCCAGAGAAACCTTTGACATTGCAGGAGGGGTTGCTCATGTTGTGCATCCAGTCACTTCCAAGAACGGTCCCAAATAAAAACATGCTGATTTGTGGCTTGTTTGTTCAGTGCTCGCTCCTTACGGCAAAAAAAGGAACATCAGTGCCTGACTGGGTGTTCTGCAGAGAACATGGGGCTGTGGTTTGTGTCCAGTATTTTTATGATAGTCAGAAGGTTTATGACCAAAGAGACTGTGCTTAAGGACAGCTTCACTGGCATGGCTGTAGACCGTGCAATGTTGTCTTTTCATTGGAAATGTTCATGTAACAAAATCAACAAATGGCAGCCTCATCCTTTAGGCTGTTCTCTGTTGTTAGGAACCTTTGTTGTGGTTTATTCTCCAGGTTTAAAGATGATCCTAGTTGGTATTTCAGTTTGGAATATGTCTGTATCGCTAACAAGGTCAAATACAAAGGTGAATTAAAGGAGAAATTTCCCACTTTTTATGTGGCTATCCAATCAGTGTTGATGGTAACTCTAGTCAGCTGAAGCAATAAATTCCTGAGTGTGTGCTGCACTGACAGAGAAGATGAGTTTATGTGAGATTTCCTTTTTGCACAGCTGTTACATGCACCAGGATGCACTGTGGTCAAGCTCCTGACGCTCGAGTCCCAAATACTTCCCGAACCTGCCCAACACGTGGAGGTGGGCATTTCAAATGCAGCTCTGTTTTCTGAAATACGTTATGTCACTTTTTAACTAGAACACAAAAAAACATAAATTGAACAACACTAGTTTTGTCAACAACAAACATGCCTTAGTGTCTCGTGCTTGGAAGCTGTGTATCATCACCCCAGCTAAAAGCTGTTTCTTTGTTTGCCAAAACATAGGTGGGTTAGGTGACAAAAATACTCACTCATTAATCATCTGCTCTCCTGGCCCTGCTGGCGCTGGTTGTCTTTTCCAGTTTTTCTTTGCAATCCTGAAGAAGGTGTCTAGTGATTTTCCAAACGACCACAATTAGTCCAGCAACCAGCAACAAAATGAAACTCTGCTTTGATTGAAATAAACCCTTAATTTACAGACATGAGATGTGAAATACTCGACTCCACTGGGTGCCAACTGGGGTCCAGATTTATCCAGGGTCCACAAAGTTTAATATATTCAACATCTGACTTGCATTTGGCCATGTTGCTGAGCTACTTTGCTGTCTCTGTCAAGTAGCTGTCCAATATTCACTCACTCTACAGCAGGAAATGGCACTTAAGAATAAAAGCTTGTATCAGAAATTCACTGTTCTTCAAAGTACAGTGTGTTTTTTTTACAAACTTGACATGTTCACAAGTCATTTGTGGCCCTTTAGGAATGGACCTGTAACCTTCTTTTGGATCACGACTCACCAGTTGGGAACCACTGCTCTGCACACTGTGTTTCCACGCTGTTTATCAGCTGATGGCGAAGCAGCAGTTCTCAGTCATTCTACGGAGGCATAAGAAAAACAAAATGACAAAATTGGCCCCTTTCCCCTTAAAAAAATAACTGGTGACATAGTCAGACAGTCCTCAATGTTAACATCCAGTAATTGAACCATAGTCATGAGCACACCTCTGTCCGAGTAAGGAGCAAAGCCATCATGCATAGTAACCCACATGGGTTCATTCTGGGTTGTTGTCAGCAACAGCATCCAACAAAAACTGCCCACACCGAAATTCAGTGCAGCAGAATGACTCCATTTCTGTTTTCTTTTGAGAGTAATTTGCAGTGGCTGTTCGATCTCGGCAGCTCAGGTTCGGCAGATGTATCCTCTTCCAAGGCTAACATAGCTGCAACCTCCGCTGTGGTGCATTGGATTGCTTTGTCCTCTCTCCGCTGCATTTCTGTGGCTTTAAAAAATACCCTACTTCAATACTGAGTCAGCCAAAACACAAGTATCCTTCTCTATAGCATCCTTTGCAGTCACATTAAATTATTCCATTTTCGCTGTTGGACACTCAGCTAGTTTGCAATGCAAGCCAGACATAAATGTCTACAAGTCTGTCTACATCTCGTTAGCGTGTACAGGTTTGGCGGGATCATGGCTTCCTTTCCCCGCCATGGACCTCAGACCAGGGGGCTCAGTCTGCCCAGCAACGAGACCTGAGCTGTTACCCCAATTGGCTTTTCAGGGTTTTCCATTGATTCTTGGAGGATGAATGCACCATCGGGACGGCAGCAAGGAGTCGGACTCTACAGCTGGACTGTCTGCATCTTCTGCTGTTGGCTGGGAGGAGGAGGGGTCTGTTTTGAGTGGCATGTCCCCAAATATCCAGAGGCTGAAACTACAAATCCAAGCTCTTGTTTCTCTGAAGAAACAATGACGTCAGTGGTTTGCAAAAAAACAGCAGATTTTGAAGCTGCTCCCAAAGACACAGAAAAAGTTATAAAACATGGTGCTTGTCACATGATATCGCTAATTCAGACAGATGAAGATCAGGCTGAAAAACAGTTAAGTTGTCCTTTAACTTTTTTCCCCGCCCCTCCCCTCTGTCAGCGAGGATCTCACCACCTGTTCCCTCCACATGTACAGCAACAGCAGTCGGTCCCAGAATGTCACACCTATCCTATGTTTGCCGATGAGTCACTGCCAGGGTCTGAAGCAAAGTGGAGAGTGGGAATTTCTTAATGAGTCACGATCACTGTAGGTATGTGCATGTGTGTGTACGTGTCTTTGTGTGTGTGTGTTTGTACTGGGCGGCTGAGGCTGAGCAGAGCAGGTTTGGGTAGATATTTTTTACCATCTGCGTGGGTCATAGCAGAACAAGAGTCCATTTTGTGATCTGTAAACAAGGATTTTGTAAAACTGTTGGGACTTTTTTTTTTCCAAAGCAGCACTCTAACAAATGTCTACAACACGCAGCCACTTGAAACCATACTGTTACTCTTTCATAACAGAAACAACAGAACCATGACTGCAGAGAGCTCAGATAACCTAAGAAAACCAAACTGCAGAAAAAGAAAGAGATGATGCAAACAGGATACTTTTTGATGTGTTTGAGTTCATGTGGTTTACTGAGGAGTGTCATTGAACTGTGCTGTTTTGAATTATGGTAACCACACCCAGGATTACCTTCTAAAAATAGCACAGACACAATGAGGTGAACGAGGACACATGATTATTTGTCTTTACTCAGTGTGAGGAGTAACACATAACTGGGAACTCTATGAGTGGGAAAATTAATCTGACTTCACCCATATCTCTATAACTCTTCTGTCTTTCCAACCTGTTACCTCTGTTAACCCATTTTTCCTCCAGCAGGAATCTTAACATCTCTCACTGACAGTAATTGT